GGGTGCTTTGGTCTGCTGTGCCACTTTTCGGCTTTGCCGATTGGGCTTGCCACTTCCAAGGTCGCGTGGGACGCATTCTGGTCGGTGTCAGTAGTGCCAAGAGCCCGGCCCACGTTGCAGGAGCACAGACCATTTGGTGCTCTCTTATTCACCCATTTACAAGTGACATGCGAATATTTTACTCAATGTCAGGGCAGTTGCAGTCGTTAGAGCCAGGGCTCTCAGGTCGTCCCCAGCTCGAGAACAATGCTCCTCATCGCATACAAGTGCAGTGGCGCTCTGCGTGGTTTCGAGTTGTGATTGATGGGCATCGCGCCCCATGGCTGCGAGTTCTTCACGGTAATGGCGTGCACTCGCACTCTTACGCATTTTTCTTTTACCTCGGGGTGCAATCTCCAGAGCAAGCGCAGGTCAGTCCATCAGCCAGTCGAGTGCTGTCGCGTTCACAGCCTGCGTGTCTCAGCTGCGAGCCCCGCACAGTGTTGGACTGGCACAATAGCCATTGTTGTCGATCATGCTCTGCTTGGCTTTGCAGGCAGCATCGAGGTATTTGCCCCCAATGCCGGGCTGGCTGCTTTTGCCAATCCTGCCTACCCACACATGATTGCCTGACGCAAGCAAACTTGGATGTGCTTGGGGGAGGTGATGCGTCAATGACGCAGGGTGGTCTGGGCCTTGAAGAAGTCAACAACTTTCACGGCTTCCTGGTTGCCCACTGCAATGGTGAGCGACGCTACCGGCCTTTCAGCTCAGACGGGCAGCCCTTGTCGCCAACTTTCATGAACGCATACAACTGCGCTGTTTGGTATTTGCTTGCTGCAGCACGGAGACTGTCGAAAGCCAGAGACCTACTACAATGCACAGATTGGCTGCCCCCGGACGTATCATCCCATGCGCTCCTTTACGTGGTCAGCTCACGACGGGGCCCACTGTTCTGGCTTCCATACTTCTTCTTTCACGGTGTTCTGACCCACATAGGCCGCAGTGATCAGTGCAAGCTCGTAGCTTGGAATTTGGACGAGTACCAGCTGTGCAGCGACGCTGGCGTGGATGGGTTGGACCTGCAAGATGTTCTTTGGAAGTGCGGAGTTCCCGCACCATACGAACATGATCTGACGTATCCCGGCGATGCCGTCAATGATTACCTTTGGCACTACGACATGATGCTTGTCCAGGCTGAGCCAGCGGAGCTGTTGCAGGACAGCCTTGTCTCGAGGCATAGTCAGGCAGTCATGTTGAGTAAATGATTGTCCAACATGTTATCCGTAAAGTGTTGAACAAGCAGCGCAACCGCCTGAGGATGGTCTATACATTGTGCACTACAAGAGTATCTTTACGCTTTGGCAGTGGGAAGGTGAGAAGGGTTATTGGTGGTGTTCCTTTGGCTGGATTCAGGTTCAGGAGGACCTTGCCGCTGCTATGACTGAACTCCTGCAATTTCAAGTCTTTGCTGTACTCAGGCCTTCTGACTTGGTCGTGCGCGAGCTACAACGCAGAAGTGCGAAGCAAAATTACGTTGGAGAGAAAATGCATGAGGACCGGCTCGGGGGTGCATCCAGCTCAAGAGAATCCTTGTTCTCAGCTTTGGATGCGACCTTATCAAACTCATTAACGAACGTGCGTGCGAACCCGCCGGCCTGGAATGACTCCATCCTCGAGAAATGCCGCAATATGAGAGCCAGGATCCAGGCAAAGTATCCGGATTGGTGCGACTTCCAGGTTCGCATAGCAAGCGCTGCAATTTTGATGTACAAAGTGCGGATGGTTGACATGTTTATTCGAGAGCTGGCTATCCTACTCTGGGTGATCGAGGGCGAGAGCCACATGCGAATCCACAATGGCTTCTGCTTCCTATATCATGAAGCTGGCTGTTATCAGGCATATTGCGGCATCCCGCCTGAGTCAACATTCGCTCGTATCAAATACTTCCTGCTTGTCCTTGAGGGTTTGTTCAGGAAGCTGCCGCCGCAAACGCGCAGGACGGATGAGCATGTCCTCAACGCTGCAGCGGCGCTCATGAACAATGCAGAAAGTCCTGAGGCTTTCTTTGACGAGTGCCAAGACGCCGCTCTACTTTCCAGCAATGGTAGCAGACGGCAGAGGCCAGCAGCCCAAGCTGCTCCAGACCACGACCATGCAGACAACGAGCCAGACAACTCCAACGGTTTGCCCTGGACAGTTTTTCTAGCTCAAGCGCTGTCCAAAATCGGTCTTCAGCTACAGTATGCGTTGCTGGAAGAGAAGAAGCTGCTTGCCTACCTAATTGAATGGTGCGAGACTCCGCTGGAGCGAGCGCCAGGGTGCTGCTACACAGACTGCTGCGTGCTTTACGATTGTTCGCCAGAAGGTCCAATTACGTTTGCCCAGCGCCGCCCAGAGAATAATATTTTCATTCGCGTGCCTCGAAGGCTTCTGGATCCAGTGGCCGATGCTGACAAGAGAAGACTTGAGCGATTCTTGGGCACTACCTTTTGGAACAACCAAAAGGTCTTCGATTGCTGCCAGGCGGCGCAAGCTCTAGCCAAGAGAGGCGAGAACATTGATCGCTGCTTCATTGGCGTCGGTCCTGGCGGTGTTGGTCAATCATTGTACAGCCTGCTACTTTCGAGCATGTACGCTCACAATCATGCCTTCATCGACCCGAACATTTGGTTCCAGGAGGATGAGCTGCGCAAGCAGATTGAGCAGTTCGCGCACTGTTTCATTTTGACCGGACAGGAAGCGCCTCAAGGCTTTAAGCGGGTACGGGAAGACCTGTACAAAAAAACCATCTCTGCAAATGGCGTCGCTGGCCGGAGGCCATATGGTGCCGTTACTAGGATGCTCTCGCTTATTGGATGGAAGCGCCTCGAGGTGAATCAAATGTTCCACTTTGCAGGAGTCACGGAGGAAAACTTCAATTCAATTCTGCGCAGGTCATTTGTGTGGTTCCCCTTAGCAAAGTTCGTCGATGACCAGCAAACACAGACGGACGAAGAGCACGGTGTATTCCGGGCCGACCCTTCTCTGCGTGAGTTCTTGGTTAGCGGGCCTGCCATTCTTCATGCGCTGCGGATTCAGCATGCGTTTGAAGCCACGCACAGCCGGGACACTTGCAGGGACGTCATCGAGCGCTATGTATTCAATGAAGATGCTGGCGCTACAGAAGAGGTTATGCGGACTGCCTGCGGGTTGCAGAAGACTATGGAAAGCGCTGCCAACGCCCAGGGCTCAACCGAAGACCAATCTGACCTTGCAGGGCTAATGCGAAACTTGCGCGAGGAGCTTCTGGCCAAGCCAACCTCGTACGTCTCTATGAACGCATTCAAACGACTGAGGTGTGTCAGCTCGGTGCCGCACAAGGACTCTGTGTGGAAGCAAATGTTAGAGACGAACGCGATAATGGATTGCGGAGCAGTTGGCTGGCAGTATAGAGACTGCTACTACCCTACAGTGAACACAGCAGTGTCTTTGCAAGAGGTCTGCCGCGCAGGCGACCTGTCTTGCCCACCTCGGCTTCCAGAAGAGTGGCACACTGAAAGCCTGCTCTCATTGAGCCGCTTGGCCAGCTCGTCTTAGATTTTTTATTGGTTCAGTGTCACGGGATGCCAACCATAATGTTCCAGGTTTGGGCACCACCAGCCTCAGGACGTGATTCCAAAACCCAGAGCCCCAACACCGAGACGATGCTTCAGTTCTACAAAGCCGCTTTGAAACGATGCAAAGCAGGCACGCCCACTTTGGTCGAGAAGTTGCAGCGCGATCGGCTTGCCTGTCAGTTGCAAAAGCTTGAAGACTCCGAGAAGTTTTGCCGATGGCTAGCGAAGACTCCGTCCACCAAGCGGATGACCCAGGGTGGCAGTCCTGGACGCAAGCAACGGAGGGTTGGTGATGATGGCAGAGGTTCTGAGCGGGCAGTTGCAGATGCAGAGACGCAGCAAGAGATCGAGAATGCGGAGGCGCCCCACACTTGGCAATTCAGCGTGTCCTACAAAAACACGCTTGGAGAGCTGCTGCGAACACGGAAGCAAGCTTGCACGGAGTCTTCGCAGAGATGCACCCGGCGACAACTCAAAGCATTACTTCCTGACTGCGTCGACTTCGACATTTCTAATTGCTGCTTTTCAGTGTTGGCGCAACTTGTTGACCTGCTCAAGCCGCTGGAGCCAGTTCCTAAAGTGGTCGCAGATACCCTTCGCATGCTCTCAACTGACCGAGAAGGCGTGTGCGTTGACGAGCTGTATGTCAGCCCTGCGGAGGGCAAGCAGCTGCTACTTGAGACCTTCAACGGGGCTGCTATTCATCCAAACTATGCAAACAACGCTTTTCTCAGAGATGTGCAGCGAGCGTCATTCTACTGCAGATGGCTTGCGTGCACAGTCCTACCGGAAGTTCATCAGAAATGCATTCAGGACCCTGCAAGAAAGCAAGCTGATGTATCGACCTTGTTCTTCTTGTGGTCTGCTGCGGAGGATTTCATTCTACAGGCATGGGTTGAGTTACTGCTACAGCAAGGCCCGCGGCATCTGTCCTTGCATTACGATGGCGTGAGAGTGAATCGTGAATGTGTGGGCGATATCGCAGAGTTCATCACAGCCAGCCACAGCTGGATCAAGAGCAAAACTGGCTTCACTGTGCAGATTGTTGAAAAGAAGCACGAGTACTTTGTGGATTTGCTCATCCAGTCCGCCTCAAGCCGCAGGGAGGCGCCAGTTGCTGCAAGTCTGCTGCTTGAGAATGGCAACTGTGTTCCGTGCGCCTTGAGCCGTGTTCTTCCAGAAGACAAAGTCGCGCAGCTGATTTCCCACCTTTCCGCCTTGCAGGCGCAAAGCACACACTGGAAGTATCGCGACCTCGCGCGCAGTCTGGAAGTGAAGCTTTGCCCTTTTCTCTGCGGAGAAACTCTGCTCCCTGGGAAGTACCTTATTCATTCTGACGGGAAGGAAGCTCACTGCGTCGCTGCTGTCGTTCATGCCAACAGTCAGGACATCACGGCGTGGGACGGAACATCAGAGCTGTCGATGTCGCTGAGAACTTTCAGAAACGGTATCGCTGGCTGCGTTGACGAGAACTCCATTGTTGGCTTTGCCGTGGAGCCTGGAGAGCGCAAGGAGCGGTCAGGTTTGCCATCTTTAGCTTCTTCTTTAGACACTCTTCTGGAACTGCGGGCTGGGGCAAAGGGATCGGAATATCCGAGGCCAGATGACGACCAATCCTCTGCCGATGCTTCGGCCTGTGGTGAGGAAGAGGACGAGTCCGTGGTGTCACCTGGGCAAGCCCTTCTTGCCAAGCTGAAGGCGGAGGTACAGGTCACCTTGGAAGAAAAATTGTTTCCGAAAGTCGACGAAAAATATCGCTGCCCATTGTGTCCTTTTCGGGCCTTTGCAAAACTGACTAGAGTTTCGCAGCACATTGCCAAGTACCACACGGTGAAGGTGCAGTTCTGCCCTAGCGGCACGAAGCAAGTCAAGTTATTGTTGGCGCTATATGACGAAGATTGCATGCGTGGGAAGGATGGCCAAAACTATCTCCAGCGCAGTTCTGACACTCTGCGGCAAACTGTTGCGCCGTCCCTTCTGTCATCCCGAACAGATATTGACAAATTCATTCGCATCGTCTTCACGGCGGCCGGCCCTGTCTATCGAAACTTGGACGCCTTGACCGACGGTGAGCCTTTGCGCCGTGTCAGGAATATTTACTACACACGCTGCTTCGCGCACTTGGTCGTTCGTGAGATGCTCTTGTGCAACGCAAAGGCAACCTGGCTAAAGTACTCGCGCTAGGTGTTGCGTGCAATCATCAAGAGAGGTTCCACACTACTGAAAAACGGCGCGTTTGCGTAAACAGCTTTTGCTCTAAGGTCAGAGCCATGATTCCACGAGTTACGCAGGAAGCGGTCGCCAGGAATTGTCTGACCACTAGCCTGCTTCCTTCCAACGTGAAGGACTGGTGGCCGATCGTGGAAGATATCTTCACTTCCCCTAGGCTGAGCGATCGCAAAGATTCCTTGCTGCAAGAAGCAGTGCAACATGAAGAGTTCGTGGCGATCTCAATCGATGCCACAATGCGATGCTGTCTCTCAATTCTGGGCCAATGCCACCCACGTGCGCCGCAGGCGGACCGTTTACAGGCAGCCTTCGACGACGCTGCTGCTAAGCGAAAAGCACCTTGCTTCATTAAAGACATCCTTTTCCTCTCTCTTTTATTCTACTCTTGCTTTTCCTTTCAGTCATTGTTACAACTTGGCCTCTATCGGTTTCAGCTTATAAACTGATTTTACTATGGTGCCAGCACAGGTTTTGACTGTCCGCGGCAGAACCAATGCAGTTCTACTGCTTCACGCCGTGCCCAGCGAAGCTGCTGAGGTTATTGTCACTGCGCTGGCAGAGCTGCCAGCCCATGCTCTGGCGCAAATTCAGTTCATTGCGAGCGACAGCCCTTCAAGTGCACTGGCCCGGCAGCTGCGACGAGTCTGCCCCAACCTTGTGATGCTCAGCCTAGATCCCGTGCACTTGGCCTTTGCATGGGAGTACTCAACTTGGAAAAAACGCACACCTGGCAGCAAAGCGCTCCGAGCAGTCCTCAGCAAGCTCAGTGTGCGGGATCCACAGGCAACAGCTGAGCATTGGGGCTGCGTGTATGAAGGTACGGCGCCACCCGAGCTGACACCCAGAGAGCAGGCTCAACGTGACCGCATCAAGGACGGCGGCATGCCACTGCGGGCAGCCAAGCAAACCCTTCACACTATGGATTACAGTGTGCCTTTTTATGACAGGATGGAAATTGTCAAGGCATTCGCAGCTCTTTCGGCACTCTATCCAGAGGAGGTGGCAAAGGTGTCTCCGGGACCGAATAGGAAAGTTTGCGAACTCTTGTGGACCGCGACATCTCCAGACCGTCTCGAGTGGTACATGAACAACATTCGGTCCAGGCATTACATGGCTTTTGCTCACCATTCTCTGCTTCACGTGGGAACAACAAGCAATGAATCGCTCCACCGAGAGATAAACTGCTGGTTCAACCAGACACAGCAGATGCATCAGGCTGTTCTGGATCTCAAGCTGCTTGTGCTTCAGTATGGCAAGCTTCTATCTCACAACGCGGCAATGTATCATCCCACTTCTTCCCAGCTCAACCAGGCCACGGTGCTCGCACGGGTTGCTAGCCTTGAGATGTGGACCTTAAGGCAATGGCAAAGCTGGTGCTCGATGAACATGGACGTCAATGGGATTGGGAAGGCAAGTCTCCCAATCAATCTGATGCGGCAAGAGCAACAAAGACAAGTACGAGCTGCTCGTAAGAGACCGGCAAGCTCATCGCCAAACTCGCAGACTCACCGTGCAAAAAGACGATCACCTTTCACGCTGCAAAGAAAAGACGGGGTGCGGCGAGGAGGTGTGCGCGATGCGTCTCTGCCAAAGAACGCGCGTCCTCCGGTTCGAAAGCGACCGGCAAGCTTACTCCCATGATGGCTATTGATGCAGGCTGTAGGCAAAATGCCGGTCAGCTCATTCTGTCATTGACCAATTACAAGAGGTTCAGATTGCGGCCGGCAAAAAAAAGTCAGCGTTGCCAGCATCCTTGACGAAGCATCAGAGGCTACGAATGGAGGGGGCGTCTCGCAAATATAGAAATATACTAAGGAGCTCGCTTCTTTCCCCGTAATTCCATTTTCTTTCCTCTCTTTCCTTCCTTCCTTCCCTCCTTTCTTTCTTTCGTTCTTTCTTTCTGCTTTCTTTCTCTCTGTCTCTCTCTCTCTCTTCCTATTTATCTTTCTCTGTTTTTCTTTTTCATTCTTTCTTACTTTGTTTCTTTTCTTCTCACAGCTTCTCCCATCTTACAAGCTGCCAGTCGGCGAAGCCCAAGCATAACAGCTTTGACTAAGAGCGTGGAGTGAGATGCAGTAAGAGCCGGGCTCCTGGCCTAGTATGATGTTGAAGCATTTGCAAGGTTTGCCACGCTGACATATTTGGCTCAAGGAGAAAAAGGGCACTGATAGCATCATGTAGCCATATGCTAACTGTGGCGCACCTGCGCTCACAGACAGCCCGCCTCTTTTGTCCGTTTGTTTTCGCTTTCTGCGCAAGGCCGGCGCCACCAGCAGCTTTGCTTAAGAGCGTAGAGTGAGATGCAGCAGGAGCCGAGGCTACTGGCCTAGGATGATGCTCAAGCATTTGCAAGGTTAGTCGTGTTGAGGTGTTTAGCTCAAGGAGAAAAGGCGCTGAAAAGAGATGCTACTTGTGGCACACTTGTACTCACACGCAATGCACTTCTTTTGTGTCGGCGGTTGTGTCAACTTTCTGCACAAGGTTCAGCAGCAGCGATGCTAGTAGTAGCAAGCTTTTATTAAGAACAAAGATATATCAAACATGTGGTTCCCCAGCAGAAGAAGGAAAAAAAGATGTTACTAAACAAATATGAGCCATTGAGTTTATGTGGACGGCCCGTCAGAAAATGTTAGAAGTAATGAACAGGTTAGAAATACCAACGGGAGGGAATTATAAATGCTTTTGTGTGCTAATAGTGCTAAAACAAGCAAGAAGGGTACGAACATGACATGGAATCGTCCAAAGTCGCAAAGTCGGAGATATTACTCGATGTGCTTAATGTTGCCTTATGTTTTGGCCGCAGCGTCGCGCCATCAGATGATCGACGTACTGAAGGATGAGAAACCATAAGAACATTAGGCGTGATTTGAAATATAGCAACAAATTCTGTAGGTATTTATATATAATAGACGTCGGAAGGTGAAAACATATTGTTGTGGATTGATTGAACAAATTGTAGATATTAGTAAGAGTGCAAATATATTGAATGAACATATTAATGCACAGTTAAGTTAGCCAACAAGCAGCAACGACGACGAGAAAAACATATTGATGACATGTTTGAAAAGAAAGGATTAGGCAGATTAGTAGGCGGTCATAAAAAGAAGCACGCAAGTTTCGTGTAATCAGAGTTACTGAAAACTGAATAACCTAAGCCCGAAACTCTTGCACACTACAAAATAGTTATGGACGAATTGTAAATATATACATATACATATATATATATAACTTAATAGTTAGAATTAACATAATGCCAACAGTATGAATTGTTTGGAACTTTGCTTTTGAACTACGCTGATTTTAATGAAGATAATTTGAACTGCAGTTGTAAAAGATCTGACAGGACTTAGTTTAACTCTTTTTAGAATTCTCGATGTTGCGCAGTATACAGCTTCACAAAACAGTAGGAATACAGTTTTTTGCCTGATAGCATTGCATGAATGACAGTAAGTGCAGCATCCAAAGCTGTCAAAATACGAGTGCAGCGCAAGCCTGATTGGTCTAATGCTGATAAGACATGCACCTACACGCGCGCGCGTACGAACACACAACACGTTTTTTGGGTGGGCGGGTTTGTAAGCTTTCTGCACGAGGTCGCTCAGGCATTATCAAAAGCACGATCATAAGAAGGAAGAGCAGCAAGGACAAATGTTACTAAAAGGTCCCTGCCACATATATATATATATATTAAAGTATGTATATATATATATGTCTGTATATATACTAGATATGTATATAATATATACATATATAAGGAGCCAAGTAGTTGCTCCCTTTTAGGGATTGGTTCTTTTGACACCCCTTGAAGCAATTCGGCATCGCCAGGGCTGGGGATCATGTGTGTTTGCTTTCACCATCCCAGGGGGGCATATGATATATTTTTCCACCGAAACGACATGTTCCGTACTTCCTACCCGGATTCATTTACGGATTTGGGAATAGTTTTGAAAACACACTTGTCAGTCTCGGTCATTGCCTACTGAGCACCAGCAAGCTCATGACACAGAATCTTCCTTCTTTTTGCTTTTCCCCAGAGGGCCAAGTATCGAACCAGAGGTCATGATCAGGGGAGAATCAACTCATCACTTCTCCACTCTCGTTTGATGTCTGGGAGATTGTTGGACCAGCTGGAGCCATGGCCAGCTTTCAGAAGTTCTCACAATCGCGAATTGCTTTGCTTAAGACAAGGAAGCCGCGCAAGGGAATGCGCAATTTGTTCAGATTTCTCCAGTCTCCCGGTGAATTTTGGTTTCGGTCCCGGCGTCCCGGACCGAAATCGGTGGACCGAATTCGCTGGGGATTCATGTCCACCAACCACCGGTTGGTGGTTCCGATTCCTGGTGGTTGGTGGTTCCGATTTTTTTAAATGCATCGTCACTTGCAAATGATTCACCTCCCCCGAAATCGCCCGAAGTCTCTGTCAGGCTGCCCTCGGTGCGAATGCCGGCAGCCAGGCAGATGATGGAGTGCTCTCAGGGCTGGTGAACCTCGCTCCCCTTGGCGTTTTGATCGTTTTTTTCTTTTTCTTTTTTTCTCCATAGATTTCGGGTTTTGGTTTAGATTGGTTATATAAACCATTGACCAGGGGAACCCATGTATTTTGCGAAACTAGGTTTGGTTTTCGTGGGGCCGCCTACCACTATTTACCAGGGGCCCATGTTTTTTTTCCAGATGCAGTCACCTATGGCTCCCCGAGTTCCTGGACATTCTACTTGGGTTTGGGCCACCCAAAGTGAGCCCAACCTCTCACTCTTGCGGAAACAAGTCCAAATCCAAAAGTTTAGTTCACTGGAAATGAGTCTGGCCGAGGACATTTGTTTGTCTCGGAGAATCTCAGAAGCTTAAGGGCTTCCGAGCCATTTCCCTTTTGGAACCTCCGCTTTAGGGGCGATCGTTTTAACCACCGGTAAAATGCCACTTTTGAAGGATCATCGAGGGGTACACGTTTGGGAATTCCTGATTTCCAATCTGTGAATTGTACGTATATGCTCTCACTAGTTGCCCATGACGGATGTGTCCAGTTTCTGCTCGTCTGCCGGACTGCATCTCTCGCGGATGTGTTGGTCTGCTTGAAAGCCTGAAAAAGGGCATCCCCAATCCAGCCCCTGTCACCAGTAAGATCTTTGTGCCGCTCACTCCTCGCCCACTCAGGGTTGAAGGTATTTTGGGCCGCTCTCGGGTTTCTGTCCCCAAAAAGGGAACCTGGTTGCAAAGGCAGATCCGAAAGAGCGAGGGCCCAAGGGCGGCAAGTTCCAGGTTCGCCAGGTTCACTTCCAAAAATGGGGAAAGGGTGGACCAAGGTAGTGAAACCGATTGTCTACTCAACTTCTGGGGTCGAGCTGGCGCCTGGAACTTTTGGTTCGATTTGTCTACTCAACTGGGGTCGAGCTCTTTTGGTTCGATTGGCGCGCCGCAAACGTTTCTTGCCACCGCGGGTCCCGGTTGGAGGCGGTGCTGAAGGCCTTGGAGCTTCGAGGCGGGGCTTGAGGCTAGCTGGCGGGTTGGAAGGGAGTAAACCCCTATGAACATGGGGGTGTTCCCTCCGAAAGTGATAAATCCCCGCCACCAGGGACACTAGTAGGGGTTTATGAATCCGGGGTCAACATTATGCCAAGTTTGCCTTGCCAAGGAGCTACCAGGAAGTTGGGGAAGGATTTGGCAGTTGCCGGGTTCACTTTTTTCTTGTTTGGGCTTCCGGGGGTTTATCAAAGCCACTCACTGGGGTTGTTTCCCTTTGACCTACCGCTTAGGTGATGACTTTGATAGCGTTAAAATCATGCGGTCGGTGTCAAAAGCTTTTATAACCATCTTAGAACCCAAAGTCAATAGGGGGTGAAACGGTTGCTCACTGGGGTACTTCTGATGTCTCCTGACTTGTCCCAGTTTAGTAGCACCCATTCTTTGTTGGTCTCTTTCCAGTTTTCAATTCTGTAGATTGCCATTTGTTTTTTGTTTTTTTCCAGCTCAGTTCCCTGAGATCCGTTTCTGACTTTAGTCACTTTTTGGGTTTGGACCGCTTTAGTAAGGTTGGTCCCATATTAATCAACCCCAGTTTATTTGTAGGGGTGTCCGCGGGTTTTGTGGGGGATCGTCACTTTTGGAGGGGAGCATCCCCCTATGAACCAACTGCGGTTGATTAATATGGGGTCAATCCACCGAAGTGAATTGGTGGATTCACCTGTCATGGGTTAGGTTGGGATGCTACTCATCTAGAGCCTCCCATCTATAGGTGGTCCTAACTGGCGAATCTGTCCTGTGTATTTGTTTGGCATCTTCCGTGGTACGGCGTGTTTCAAACCTCATGATGGTTTCCAGAATACTTAGGGGGTAACCATATTTACAAGGAAGTCCAAGCGTGTCTTTGGTCCGGTCAATAATCTCGTCAAACAACTGCTCCCATCGCTTCTCAAACCCACCCCCGACCCCACCTCCAGTTTTGGTCTACTTTGACACGTCCAGTTTTGGTGTATTTTGACACGTCCAGTTTTGGTCTATTTTGATCTCGTTGTGGTGGTGTGTTTGGGTTGTTGTATGAACCAGGATTTGGCCCAAAGTCTCTTTCTATCGCTTCAGCTTCTCTTCTTTCCTTTTTTTTGATTTGTTTCATTTTTTTCTTCAAAGGGGATCCCGGTTGGTTGAACCCCACCCCCAAAAAACCACCCAAGCACCAGGGGTCTGTCTCGTCTGGTGGCGTCTGGTGGCTCGACCTGGAAGCCCCGAGATCCGAGGCAATGCGCTGAACGATGACTGCATCACCGTCCTGGCAGAGGCGGGATGCATGGTTGTTGTTGGGAAACATATTTTTTTACAATCCAAATCCGCTTAACTGCTAAAGTTTGAATCTTTGCTCCCCTTCCAACGTCAACCAAGGATGGGCCGATGGCAGTTTTGAGTAGAAAAACAACTTGCCATCGGTGCAACAGGCAGGGGCCCTGAGAAAAATACGGAATGACCCAAAAATGAGCCGTCCAACTGGTGGTTGTTTTTTTGGTTGGACCAAAGCCTGGGTTCATTCCCACATTCCCTACTCAGCACCAGCAAGAAAAGGGGGGGACCGAAGCCCAACGACCTGCTGACCTATTAGCGTCCACCAAAAGTGAATGATTCGTGTGTGCAGTTTCGCCTGCATCATGGCAGCTAAAAGAGACAAAACAGGAGCCAATACAAAGAAAGCATCCTCCCCGTTTGATGCTGGGTACTGGTAAGAGTTTGTGCACGCTTTGGCCACGCCTCCTGGGTCCCTCAACGTGGGTCCGCATTTTGCGGTTCCGAAAATGTCTTTGAAGGAGTGGTGTTCCCTTTCAGCCACCGTTGAGCCGGGGTTTTGAGGATGTCATTTTTCCTGGGCGCAGTCCCGTGCCTCTTTTCCATCCGAAGATCAACGCCCAAGTTGCATTCCTTTTTCCATGCAAAGGGAGAGCTGTTTGGGAGAACTGACTGAAGGTCCATGCGCTCGGAGCATTTGGCGAACAAAGGGTCCTCTCTGATACACCTGGGTGCTCTCGCGAGAGCGAAAGCGGTTTTCCATGCCGACCCTCCGAGAAAGCTGATGTCGTGGTGAAAAGAGCGGTTTACTTGGGGTTGGTAGGGATAGTCATCACCCTCTCGGGATAACCAGGGTAAGGATGTCCATTCAAGGTGAGGTTAAGGACGCACATGTGTTGTTTTTATACAACACCAGGACAAGCATTTTTTTCTTGGTAGTTGGGCGCAACCCTTACCCCTAAGTCGCCTCCAGCGGTTAAGTGACAAGTGATACACGGCGCGTGGACCACTTTAAGCTAATCTTAATTTAGCAGGACCGGCGCAGGCCAAGCAAAATGATGTTTGTAAATTGGTCCGCTATGTCCGAAGACATGTTCACCCAAGCCAGGGGAAAACATTCTTCCTCCTGAGAACCAAAACCAGGGTAAGTGAAGCCAAGTCCCAACCATAAACTTGTACGTCCGCCCTTTCATGATTCTACACGGAGTTGGGTAGACCATTCTCAACACCAGGTTTTGATGGTGACTTGCCCAGCCCCCCATTTTGAAGCCAAAGGGACGGCGTGTCTCCCTTGAAGATGAGTCCCCATTCTCGGGATTACACGTTTCCAATGTGGAATTTGGAGGCCCAATGTTTCGCTTGGTTTCCCTGCCAACAACAAAAACAGCTCAACAAAAGAGGGTTTCTTTGTCAGTACCCCCTTTTGGCTGGTTTTAATGGGAAACCAGAAGGACAGCCACCAAATTCTTTCAGTTTTTTTTTTTAGACAAAAAGTCACAATGACATGGAGCTGGTTGGTTTCCTGTTCGTTCGCCTTTCGAAGCATCCGTAAAGGCACCACCCCCAGGTATTATCTTGAGACACATTTTGGGGCGTGGGGAGGTTCCATGTGTGCTGAGGGCCTTTCCCAGAGCATCTCCCTGGAGAAGCTCATGTTGGCAAAGCACTGCCGGCACTCTTGGCTCATCACCTTTCTGCTAACTGCTAACTGCTGATTGCAGGGCTGTGGGAAATCACCACTTCTGCGATACAGCAGAAAGGGCTTTCCAAAGACGAACCCCCCAATAAACCCCTTGATCTCACACTGGCTAATTGCATTGACAGACTTTAGCTTGCCATTATTGTTCCAACGCTGGGCCCTTTTGGGGTTCCATCATTTTTCCTTACCGGCAAAGAAGTTGAAACGCCTTGTAGGGGGTGTAAGTATGGTCAAGATGGTTGGGTGTGCTAACTGAGTGTTAGCGTCTCTACCTCAATGTGGACTCCCCAAGAGGAAAGAGTCTTTCCACAGCTTGCTGCCATCTTCCAGGATTGTTGGAGGGAGGGCACTCACCACAAATGGGAACCGCACTCCCTCAGATCATTTTTGCGGCAAACATTTACAAGTTGCGGGATTTTTTGTTCCGGCCAATCCACTCGGGGGCGATCATTCCCCGAAAAGGCCTGGACGTTTTCCCCCAACAAGACATGAGATGTAGGCGTATGTTCTCAGCAGGCTTTTTTCCCCAAACACATGTTACGAGCACCTGAGCCACAATTCAAACCCGGGTAGATGAAGGGTAGTAAGGGACAATCCCAACCATAAATAGCTGCTGTCGCCTTCTTAATTCTTTACATGGTTCTGGGTCGACCATATCAATACCGTGTTTTGATTATGACTCACCTGATTCACAGGCTCAAGGTCAAACAAAAACAGTAAGCAGGGGGGACCCCCCACCCCGGCTCCAAAAAACTGACACTCCCCATGCATCTTTTACGTGTTTTAGAGGAATCTCAACTCAAAAAATCGGAGGCTGCGGGACCCCATACATTCTTTTGGGTGGCGTCTGTTGATTTTTGCCAACATGTTGGGATCGCCTGGGCTGGAGGTCTAAGGGTCGGAGGGGCTGACTTGTTCTCTGGGTTCGAACTGTTGCTGAAATGCATCTTTGATATGTTCTCCGGTTGGTTTCAAAGGACATCTCTCGTTTGATTCTTTCCAAGGGACGTATTCGCAAGTGGAAGGCTCGAAATGAACAGGTTCCGATCGCTTGCGCCGGAGAATCTTGTTTTCCTCACATCCGACTTGGTGATCGAAGCCATGCAAGGAATTGCTTGCGTCGCTTCCTTTCTGGCATGCTTGGTGTGTGCGGGCTGGGATCACTCATCCTGGGTATGTGTCAAAATACGGGGACCCCCAAAATGAGCGGTTTCCTCTTGGTTTCCCATAAAAACCCAACCCCAAAAAGGGGTACCGAGCCTCACAAAAGCACAGCCCAGCCTTGATATGAGCCGGTTTTTCTGGCCTGTGATCCGTGTAGGAAACCCTGTTCGGGGTGGGTTAAAGGGAAGCCAACAGGAAACCTTCCGATTTGCAGTGCCCTCTATTTTGACACACACCCAAATAGGGTTTTTGGTTGCCACGTAATTAGCAGACCCGAACCTCGCTTGCTTTGATGAAACAGAAGGGGAGCTCACAAAACCAGAGTAAGTGATAACAGTATATATATATATATATATATATATTTGTGGTCAGAGGTGGTGGGAATCCGTTCCTTCGTTGGCCTGCCGGGCCTGATCCGAGTGTCCCACCGCACACCTGGTCTCTAGTTTGGTTTCTGCTCCCCATTTCCGTCCCGGGCAGACAGGCTAGCCTTTTGTTTCTGGTGACTTGGCAAGTACTGAAGCTGTACAATCACTTGGCGCCAACCAATGGGTTCTCATTGCTGTCCGGCTCGCGCAAAGGCCTTTCCAGGATCAAGTGCTGGTTCTGCCGAGCGAAAGAACTGACGAGCTTCGCCTGAGCTACCGGCCTGCTGCCTGTTCAAAGCATTAGGGGATTCCACACAGACACGCACGAGAGCAAGGAGCGTGAGCATGTAGCTGTCAGATTGCTTCTTTGAATGCATTGATATGTGTATGGGGGTGCCCTGACAAAGATGGGCCCCAGAACAGTGGCTGGGAACGCCCGAAAGAACCCACCCTTTGGGCCGTTTTCCAGCATCATGCTTGTCTTGAGACGTTTAGGGTTTAGAGATATGTAGCAGGAAACCACCCACCCCGAGGTTTTTTACGACCTGATCCAAGGGTTTCTCATGTTTCGCGCGGCGCCGCGACGCGCCGCGAAATCGCGCGCCTCGCCCTTGGACTCGGATGGGGCGGAGCGCAAGGCGCGGGAGTCGGTTGAGGGCGGTTTGCTGGGAACGGGCTCGCCTCATTCGGGTGGGCTGCGGCCGGAGACATGACCCAAATGGCTTGAGAGGATCTCAGAAGGTTGATTTCGGTCTCTGGACATTTCTGGAATGTCTTCTCTTTGAGGAATTCTGTTCAAGGGGTTTATGTTGAGAGCTTCTCAAAGTTGCTGCTGCTTGTGCGATAGGTAGGAAAGGGCGAGGAAACCAGAACAGATGGTGTATGGAGCCCCCAGGGTAACTCTCAGGTAGCCATGGTTTGCCCCAACATATGGGTGAACAGGTACCCTTTGGTGTGTTCGCAGGGGTAGGTCAAACACCTCCGGTACCCAAATGTTACCTAGTTGCTCTCAGTTTTCTTTCTTCGCTTGGTTGAAGTCTCCAAATGCCAGTTGTACCTGGCTGGGCATGCTAAGTGATGGTTACTCACAGGGACCAAGCCCAACCCCCGCCTGGTCCTTTTTCTTGGACCATTTGGTTGCTAAGGGAACGTACATCAACCCCAACCCCAACTGAGCCACAATCAAAACCGATTCGGGTAGATGAAGGTTAGGGGAGACTCCCAACCGTACATGGGTGCCTTCGCCGCCTTTTTAATTCTTGAAGGTTCTGGCTAGACCATTCTAATACCGTCCGGTGTTGTTTTTGACTCTCATGGGCTTTGTCTTTTGGGGGGGACCTTTTGGTTGCTAAGGGAACACACCTCAATCCCGACCCGAAACCCCAACCCCAACCTCAACCACCCGTCAACCCCAACCACCCGCCAACCCCAGCTCTTGACCAAAACCACCGCCTGTTGCGCGCATCGCTTGATTTGCCGCCGCCCGCGCCAGCCGTGCCTGCAGGTCGCGCTGCAGGCTGCTCAACCGCGTGGCGCCCCTTGAGGTCTTCCCCCGCCGATCAGCAGGGCGAACAGAAATCTGGGGTGATCTTACATGATCTTATGCCGTCTTTTGTGCGTCGTTTTTTTTTGGTTGTTTTCTGCGTGTTTTCAAGATGTTGCAGGGGTGCAGCTGGGCCGGGCCCTCTGAGTTTTTTTTTTGTTTTTTTTTTACATTTGGGGGCTCCCTATCTCCCTATATGTCCCTCGGGTGGTTTTGGCCTCACCGCACCTGGGAACTTGATTTCTATAGTTTCCCGGGAAAAGCTAAAGCAGGACACGCAAGAGCGCCTGCTGCATGTCAGTTCTAACACTTTTGCCACTTAAGGATCGTAGACAGTTTCGTGGCCATGTGGATGGCTCTCCGTTGAATGGTGCTATGTTTGGATGGGAAAACTGATCCCTGCAGGTGGAGGTGGAGGATGTTGGCAAGAAAGTTGAAAGTGAGCCACAATCAACCCCGGATATCCGCACTCATTTGATTGCTGGCTTCGTGTCGTTGGCTTTCAATGCATCCCAATGCGGGCTCGACAGGTTTCTTGCTGACCCATGGATACCAGGTTCAGCCGAAGATGAACCAGGCTTGAATGGTTGGGCAATTCCACTCAGTTGCCCACAACCTTTTGACCTTTTTGGTTTTCTTTGTGGCCACTAGAGGTGATCGCCTTTCTATTTTTTGGCTGAGCCCAATGTGACTCAGGTTGCTCAGGGCGTGTCCGCAATAGGACACGAAAGCTCCGGTGAGAGCGCCGTTTTTTTTCGGCTCAAGGTCGGAAACGAAGACTCGCGGGAATGCGCGGAACGCGCCATGAGTGTTCCGTTCAAATGGTACTGGGTGAGTTCTCTCGGCCTAGAACTTCTGGATTTATCCAGAGAGAAGCCAAAACGGGATGCGTTTTGCTTTTGCCACCAAATCCACGTCGGAACCCATATTTATCATCTAGACCAAGAGGGACTGAAGGAGATGTGCAAGTGCGTAAGGCAAGGGGCAACTAGCAATTGTTCTCTTGCAGTGGGTCGGAGCAAAGTTCCGCGGCTCGCGCGAGCCTTTGAGTCTCAGCCGAGAGATCTAGAAGCGGACTGAAGCTGAGGTACGGGGGAGCGAATTTGCTTAGGGCCAGCTTCGAGCTCGTTTTCTTCCAACCGCTTTTTGTTGATCTCACAAGACACGGGTCAAAGCAAGCATCTGTAGTTGTTCAGTGTGAGGACAACCATTTGGGTATTAAATTTAGCGAGGGTCCCTTTGAGAGCGTTGCCTATCAAGATTTGCTATTTGGTCATTCCATTCGAGTCTCCAAATTTCGGCGGTTCCCAGTCATACGTTTAGACTTCCGGTGTAAAAAAATCATGATGTTATCCACTCAACGTTTGACGTTTAACAGCTCATCATAGTCCCGGTTCGATTTCGCAGGTCTCAGCTTTATCCGACTCGCGAATAATTTCTCGCGTCGCAAGTCGTTAACGAAAGATTTCAGCCGCGCGCGATGCGCATCGTGGTGGCGAAAGAGCGCGGGCCTGAGATGGTTTGCGTCGACCTGGTAGGGAATCAATGGGCTCGCAGGGAAGCCATTCCGGGGCTGGAATGGACTTAGGTTTTCTACCAGGGAATGAACATAGGGAGCAACGTTTCGTGGTTTGGGGAAACGAGGAAATCGCCAGTTGAATGGTTCAGTCTGCTCGAAGAACCAGCAAGTCAAAAGGAACCAGGACTTCAGGAGTACTCTTTCAGAGGCTGGGGCCCCATCACTCTTCTCACGCGGAAAAGGAACAAGTGAAGGCCTGCGCTTCATAGCAAACCCGGGGTTCCACGTTGTTTGTGCCCTTGGTGGGGTTTTCACCACCTTCTTGGAAAGGCTTGCAGGTGAGATCTTCGCCATCATCCGAGCTTCTCATGGCAACAGTTTCCTCTTCCCGATTGTCTCCATGGGTGTGTCTCAACAATAGGGAACTCCTGAAATGCTGGTTTTCCCGTTGGTTTCGTCAAAACCACCAAGTGGTAGGAACCTTGGTGGATGCTAAGCCGTAGCTGCCCATGTTTGATTTACCCAGAGGAAGAACCAAAGTGGGTGTGTTTTGTTTTTTTGCAACCCAAATCAAATCCAGACCGTATGTACCATCCGCACCAAACAGGGACTGAAGGAGTTCACAAGTGCGCAAGGCCCAAAAGTGTCTGGGATTCAATTTTCTATTTAGCACCAATAAGCTTCCAGCTCATTCCAGAAAAGACTTCCATTCCAGAAAAGACAAGGCTTCCATTCCAGAAAAGCTCTCAATTTTCTATTTAGCCACCCTTCCCGGAAGAACGTCCAGCTCGTGCCATTTTTTTGATGCCGAAAACTTCCAAGGCCGGCCGCAACATGGAGGCGCAAGGGTGGGCGAGAGCGAGGTGTTCTGCGGCCGGAGCCATCTCAATATGATTATTAAGAGGCGGAAACGCCTCAAAAGTGGTTGGTGGACATGAATACCCCGCCTAAATGATGTCCAACGAGTCCCTGACTCATATGAGTATGTCTCGGGAAGGAACGTCTTGCACTGTGATGCCAGGGAATGCTTCCCTCAAGTGATTGGAGCTTCCATTGGTATCACAGAAGGGGTTCCCACAATCGCCTGGTATGTCCTTTTCAAGGTTACCCTTGTGGGGGCTGCTTTGAAAGGGACACTAAAGGAATGCCATTTTTGTTTGGGGGTCTCCCCTATTTTGAGACGCGCTCCTCTGTGCCATGGTCAAATCGCCCATCACTCTTTTACTACCCTGTTGACAAGGAATGGGATTTGGGTAAGGGACACCCACATACAGTATACATAATTTTCTCCATGGCTTGTGTGAGGGGCTAGATGATTGCTTACATGTTTCTTCATCATCATGACGTAATATAATTTGGTTTAACACATTCTAACTATGTGAGCCCTCTGGTATTTTAGTTCCCTGAAGCCCACAAGCAACAGCACGGCCGTGTCTTTCCACGGAACTCCTTTGGGCGGTGCCTTTTCCATTTTTGGTACCCCCCAAAAAATGGTGGTTGTCCTGTTGGTTGCGTGTCAAAAAACTCAAAGAAGGGGAGCAAAGAAGTGGAGCCCTCGACGAAAGACAAACAACTGACCAGGACATACTTAGACAGTTGGATCAGTCCCACGGGAGCTGATTGCCCACTCTAGTGCAGCTTGCTTGCGACATTTGCTGAGGGGAGAAGAACATGTGACATGTGTGTTGAAGCGAGTTGGACTTTTTTGGGGCTGGCCTTTTTTCGTTTTTCTCCGCGAGACTGACATGAGCCTCCTTTGTTTTGAGAGTGCTTGGGGTTGACAAGTTCTGAAGGAGTCGAAGGGATACTTGGGGTCCGATCGATCCGAGGCAGTCTGGGGAACTGACTTGATTCCGGCATCTTGTTTCTGGCGCCCGCGATGACCTTCAGCAGTCAGTTTCCTGAAAGTGACGTTTGTTTCCCCTTTGGATGGTATGCTGGACAAAATGGTACTGGGAACCCAGGATAGATCAAGTTTTGGTGGGGGGGGTGTCCCCTGTTAGTGGGGAATCACTTTTGGAGGGGATTCATGGGATGGGTTGATGAATTTGGGAGCGACACAGCCAGGAACTCACAAAAAATCTCCCACAACTAATCAGGGACTCACCAACTTTGCGAGCCTCAACAATGCTCGCCCCCCCCAAAAAAGAATAGACAAATAAAATTGGTGGTTTACCTCTCAGGTTTCCTTAAAACCAACCCCGAACAGGGCTGCCAACGTGTCCAACAAAAAGCGCAGAGAGACCCCAGACTTTTTGCTCAGGTGGCACGACGAGCTCAAGCCTCTGCGCATGGCAAGAGGCCTGCTTGGCGGCTTGGGGGTCGAAGGAAGCGGGCGAAGACATGGGTATGGCTCAAAATGAAAGAGCTAGGGCAAACCGCAGGCGTTAGGCTTTGGTTCAATTTACCAAGGTGCCATTTTGGTAACACATTTTTTTGAGCCACAGCCAAATGGGTGGCTCGTCCTTCGGACTTCGGTTGGTTTTGAGTTGGTAGCCCTTGGTTTCAAAAAGGGAAACTCAACAGGAACACCGCTGCTCGCCATTTTGATGGGTCCAACCTTAAAAAGGACAAACCCAAGTCACCTTAGAGGATCTCCTTACAAAGCAGGTGGTCTTTAGATGTATCCTGTGCGCAACCCTTCTCTTGCTGGAGTCACAGACTTTTTCCCCAACAGCTGAAAGCTTTGGGGTCTCAGCCCAGATAGGCTCCGGGGTGGTCCGGGGCGGCCCTGAGGTGAGGTTCCACGAGGGTTCCCAGGGTTCCACCAGGGTTCCACCAGGGTTCCACCACGGTTCACCAGGGTTCCACCAGGGTTCCACCAGGGTTCCACCAGGGTTCCACCAGGGTTCCACCAGGGTTCCACCAGGGTTCCACCAGGGTTCCATCAGGGTTCCAGCAGGGTTCCACCAGGGTTCCACCAGGGTTCCATCAGGGTTCCAGCAGGGTTCCACCAGGGTTCCACCAGGGTTCCACCAGGGTTCCACCAGGGTTCCACCAGGGTTCCACCAGGGTTCCGAGGGCTGCGGGGTGGTGCAAGCACTAAAAAGAGCAGAGCACCGCATGCTGTTGGGGATATCACCTGAGTTTATTTTCTTCTGGGGGCTCAAAGTCAGAAACTGGTGGGTGGTGCCCCTTTTAACCTGCCAAAGGGTTCCTGTACCAGGGCCACTGGGCTTTGTTGGCCGCCTGTCCGGGCCAACCTGTTCCAACAACACCCACCGCTTGGATCAAGAAATCCAACGACGATCGGTGAACCGCAACCTTCACATTTGCCCTCAGCATTTTTCGCTTTTTGGTTCTGTTCATTGGGTCCGTCTTCTTTTTGAGGGCACCCCTCTTTCGTGGCAAAGGAGCCGCACAAGCAAGACCCTGATTTATTTTGGGGGTCCAACCGGCACAACCCAAATAGCAGTCACAGCACTCGTCCCAGCAGCTCCCAGCAGCTCCGCAGGCTCTTTGTGTCCGGGGTGGCCAACGGTGTGATGAAGCCCTTGGGCCTGGAAAGTGGCCTGGGAAGTGGGGCATGGGAGGTTTTCCTTGAGGTTGGGTACACATTTTGGTTGGTGTTCCGAGTTTTTGTTGTTGGTACCCATTTGGTTGGTATTCTAAGTTGATTGTTGGCTATGTACCCATTTTTGGTTGGTATTCCAAGGGTTTTGGCTACACATTTTGATTGGTATTCCAAGTACACTTCCCAAGTAGGCGTCTTCCTTGACTGCTAGTGGGTCAAAAATAGGTACTCAAAATGGGTTGCCCTATCGATAATTAGAACCATGGACTGAAACCTGCGGTGCATCCAAACGTCCAAATGAATCAGCACATGCGTTGCGCCACATCAACCGCACATCAAACCACATCAAAGCCACATCACAATCATACCGTCATGCATGACACACCAGAACACACCAGAACACATCACAACACATCAGAACACATCACGTCAACTTTCCTTTGCCGATTCCACATGCCCCCATTTCTTCTTGACTGTAGGTGCAATAAGTTTGTCGTGGTCAACTTGTTGCCTGCAAACCCGTCCAAGTGGCGCATGATTCTCTTTTGAGTGAACTCGGTGAGTTGTCCCTCCCTCCGGCATGTGTGCCCTAAGAACCCCCCCATTTGCGCCGGTCCGATGTTCCTACTTTTGGATGTCCAATTTGAACCAACTCCTCAAACGGGAGCCAAAAACCCCTCTCGAGGACCGACCTGCAGCGGGAGTTCGGGGAGTTCGGCCACGTCACGGACATCGAGCTGCCTTTGACCGCCAAGGGCGTCGCCTTTGTGGAGCTCGCCGGCCGAAGAAAAGAAAGAGAGAAAAAGAGAGACCAAACAAAAAACCGCTTCGAAGGAGCCGTGGCTTTCGGGCGGATTTTTGTTTGGTGCGGGTTTCCTGCATTGAGATTAAAGGCTTCCTGTATGTCTTGGTGGTGTTAGGCTCAAAACGATTCGAAGGGCGATTCTCGGGGCTTCAGAAAGGGAAACCGGGGTGGGTGGTTCATGCTTTCAGGGAAACCAAAGGGAAACCCAAAGGGAAAATGCGTGGCCTCCCGTGGGCGGATTTGTTTTGTGGGTTTTTCCAGTTGAAATGAAAGCATTCATAACTTTTTGGGCCCATGTAAAAGGAGCCTTTTTTTGGTGGTGTGATGAAATCTAGGGAGCAGCCAGACAAAGGGTACACCAACTCCCAAGAAAAAAAAGCCAAAACTCGGGATCTGAAGCTTTGAAAAGGTTGGTTTCCTGCTGGTTTGCCTTCGAAACAGCCCCTTTCAGAAGAAAACCGTGACACATTGTTTGTTGGTATTTACATGGGAAACCATAAATTCCAGGGTTTCTGAGGTGGTGCGGGATTTCGTCCATCCAGAGTAGTGTTTCAAAACAATTTTGTCCACGAATGGATTCACGTTGGTGATTTGCCACAAAAAAATGGAAGTGCAAGACAGCCTTTTTGGAGGACTAAGCAGCCTTTTGGACAAGGGATCCGTCCAATTCCATGATTGGAACGAGGATAGATTCCCCGAAAAGGGTTGATTTCCCTTAACAATCACCCCTTTTTAGGGGTACCCTCCAAAACAAGACGAGCCGTTGTTGTCGGTTTGGAACCCGAAGCGAAACCCGAAGCCCGAAACCGAAGCTCGAGGTTTGACTCCGCCCTGGATGCGCAGGATGCGCTCGGGGCCTCGGTCATAGACTTTAGTTACTTTGGGAAGACCATTTTAGTGGTAAATCAGAAGTTCAGACTCATTTGTTGAGTTTGCTCACGAAGGATGCTACACTCACACCCTCTGATTACAATTCCTTGCCAGATCAGTCGTAAAAAGGCTACCCCTGAAGGCCTATAGGTGGAGTATGTGGATTTGGGCTAATTGAGTGACATGCGGGGTTAAAAAGCAATACGCATCATTCTCGGATGACCATGACTTAATTTGGTTCTAAGGTTCCCCACACCCCGTTCAAAATTTGGGGCCCTTAAAGTATCTGTCAGAATTGGCGGGGATCCCGAACATGGGTGCGATTCCCCTTTGATGTCCTTTGACCCGGGCAGAAGCGCAGTTTTCTACTTCGGGTTGGTAAGGATGACATGGCGCCAAGCGGGGAAGTTAGACATCCGCACTCCATAGGATCTAAGGAAATCATGACCATGGCCCCGGAGGTTTGATCATAAGCGCCTTATCACTCGAGCAGCTACTCTGGGAAGTGCGAACTGGGACCAAGTCCCTTGAGGTCTTCCTAGGCGTTTTGGACATCTCGCCTTCGCTGATCTTTTGCCAGCGCCCAACCGCCCAATGGCCATAGGTGGTTCCACTAGCTGGTTGAACAAGGATTCTAGTAATCATAGTAGTCATAGACATCTCCATATAAACCATTGCCACCTTAGCAGAACCAACAGTCAATGGGTCACCGGGTTCTGGTCGCCCGAAAAAGACGGCGGCATGGGTTTCAGGAGGGCTCCAGCCACAAGCCAAGCGTTAGCAGTACCGAGCGAGGGGGACTTGAAGTTGTTTGGTTTTCCTGACACCCCTAATGTTGACTCCACCTTAATCAACCCCAGTGGATTAATACCCTAAGGTTGACCCCATATTAATCGACCCCGGTGGATTAATAGAGGGGGGTGGGGGCCCCTTCAAAAGTGATGAATCCCCACTAAACCCAAACACACTCCTATATTAATATACAGGGGTTTATTAATCCGGGGTCAACAGTACGCCAAAAGGGGCGAGGCCCCTCATTTCGTTTGTTTCCATCCAGCATGATTTCTCTTTTTGTCCAATGTGCAGAACATGGCAGGGGGCCGGTGCCCGCATTTGGGGGAGCAGAACCGACAGAGACGGCCCTTGATTTGGTGTCACTTGGGGATTTTGCCAGCATGAAATGCCCGGAACTACCAGTTTGCCTTTTTGTGCGCTTCTGGTTTTCTGTTTTCCTTTTTAACCAGCAACAAGTTCTAAGCGCGACCAACATGGAGTCCCATGTTCCGATTAGAAGCCGTGGTGAAGCACTTGTGACGCTTAGCGCACGCTGCGGTAAAGTTTTGGGTGGCATCAGACTGGAGGTGGCACGCGACTCAACATGGAATGGTATCCCAATCGGCATTGGGCTTGTAGAGCCTTCGGAGTTCCCCCGATTTCGGGGGCCGCGATTGTAAGCAGCCGCGATGTTGCCATTGGAACATGGCCCCACGGAGTGATGCTTTTACATCGGAACCCTTGAAGGAAGCCCATGACCGTGGCGGTGCAGAGATTGTGGGAACAGAGGAGGCCTCATTCGTTCAGGCTTCGCTTCTTTTGAGAGAGGGTGCTATGAGGCCCGAAAGAAGCTGAATAAGTTTTGTTGGGACTTTACAAGCAAGCCGAGTATTGTGCACTAGATGCTTTGCCCCTTGTATAAGACTAGCTGAACATGCTAAGAGAACGTAGACCAAGCGATCCCACTTGTACAGACGGCCTTTCTACTTTTAGAGAAGTCTGTTTTTGACCGACTTGTTGAAAGGGATTTCGTGTTGGTTTTGCCGACGGTGTTGTACAGGGCTAATTCATTACGTAGAAACGGTCTTCTCTTGATGACTACATTCGGCAAGCAACCACTCCACCCGGGTTCCAATTACATTGGCACGTATGGGGTGACCCCCAAAAAGGGCCAGCTGTTCAACTTTTCTTTGGTGTCCCATGTCTAGGTCCCCCAGTAGTGCCCTGTACCCTTTTTTGGGGCAGGGTTCCCCTACTAAAATAGACTACAGAGAAAAACATCGGGCACCCTTTATTCTATCCTCTCTACTGGAGGACCTAGGTTTGATACAACCCTTAGGAAGTACCTCCAAACCCAGCCCCACTCCAACTCCTCAACAGGGCAGCCTCCAAAAGGGCCGCCTCAAGAAAACGCCCCCGGACCCCGCACGACACTTGGCCCCGGGGCCTGGGTGGCCGGGCTGGCGCACTCCTGGCGAGGCTGGAGGGGGTGACCGGGCGAAAGCTGAAAGGGATGATCCTGAAGGTGAAGATGGCCCGGGCCCCGAAAAGCGTCGAAGCGTGGCGTCCAGGCGTCCAGGTGCCGGGTTTTCTCTGGGTTTTTGGGCGGTTCCTGTTTCTTCGTAATTTTTTTTGGCGGTACCTGGTTATTTTAGAGGCGGTTTAAAGGTGTGTGTTTTTGGAGGGTTCCTGTTTTTTCAAGCAGTTTAAAGGCGTGTGTTTTGGAGGGCCCTTGGTTTTTAGAGTGGTTCAAAGGTGTGTGTTTTTGGAGGATACCTGTTTTAAGAGGTGAACAAGGAATGTGTTTCTTGGAGGGTGCCCTTTTTCCCACATTGCTATGGCACTTGACAGGTGGTCCCTTCAAAAGGAAAATGATACTTCCAAGTACCCTCCCCCCCCCCCCCGAAAAAGAAAAAACAAGACAGAAAGGCTGGTTTTTCTTGGGAATGCCCTTAGACCAACCGGACACGGGCACCCTCAAAGCTCAAATCGCACGCACACCCATTCTCTCACTGTCCAAAGCGACCATAACCGGCTTGCGGATTCCCGGAAGACTCCTCTAGAAAATGGACGGGTGTTTTTTTGGGGGTCATGTTGATCTGGAGACTGCGGCCCCAGAACTAAGAACCTCCTTCTGGCTTCTTCAAATATCACCTCCTTTGAGGTCAGACGTCACCCATGGATTCGAGGGTGGCGTTGAGGGCCTTGGGATTCCTCGCAACCCAAAGGGCGGCAGGGGTGAAAGGAGTCCTCTGGCTGGCTTTTGAGCCTCCATGTTTAGCTGCAGGGACCTATCCAAAAGCCGGAGCCAACCTGGTGGGCCAAGCCGTTGCCGCTGACACATTCGCTCGGGGAGAGCCCTCTCTTGTTTGCAGAGTAATTCCTCTGATACTCATTCCTTTTTGGGTTATCGAGGGTTTTGTTTGCAAATATGGATCCCCCCCCAAAACAAAAAGAAAGAAAGAGCAGAGGCGACGGTTTGCTTGCAGTGTCCCTTTAAGCCAACCAGAAGGGGGCTTCTCAAAGCGACCCGCACATATGAGTGTTTCTCACAAAAGGGGTTCCATTTGTAGCTGGTTTTAGAAACCAAAAGCATGCCGACCACCTGGAGGGGCCCCTATTTTGCAGAAACATCCATATGTACCTTCAACGGCCCCAAAACCAACATGGGCAACCAAAGGAGGATAAGTGACTCGATTGCTTGTTGGCAAGACCTTTGACCTGGAACAACTGTTCAAATCATGATGTTTCCCTATCTATCAAACCTCATCAAACCCCTGCTTCTTTTGTTCAGACTATATGTTATCCAAGGAAGCTTAGATGGCGTAGGCGTACAGGCTCCAAGATGACTTCCCCCCCCAAACCGCAGGGGTGTATCGGGAAACAGCCGATTTACCACCACTATGTCGACACTGATTTCCCTTTTTTGGCGTGGGGTAGAGGTTTGGGGGTACTGGACACCATATTACTTTGGTGCATTTTGCTTGGATGTTAGGACTGTAAGTTTTCCCAACTAATGGGGTTTCCATCAAACCACTAAAAGTTAAACTTTTAGCAGGGGAGCAGAAAGCAACCGAGGTTCGAAAGGCCCTGTTCCTTGGGATACGCCACCATCCCCCAGCTCGCTTCTTGGGGGAAGCTGAGGCGGACGTGCAGAAGACCGGCAAGGCAGCAGTCGAGGGTTCCAAGCCTGGGGTAATAATTCCATATGCTAACTAGGTCCCCCAGCTAGGTGCCCTTTTACTCTCTTTCGGGGGAGGGCCTACTAAATTAGACTACAGAAAAAAAAGGGTGCCCTTATTCTAACCTCTCCACTGGAGGACCTAACTATAGGCTATAGATGTACGAGTTTTCATGTAGATACATGTGAGACAATATCAAGCAGGCCATGCTATGACATGAACATTCAATGTGTGTGTGCGCATAGACATGTCTATATCTATCTAGCTATCCCTCTCTCTCTCTACATATATATATATATATATTTCGTACCTTTCTCTGTACCTTCTCTGCATGTGGTAGACAGGGTGGCTCGGCCACTTCCCGTCACTTTCGCGGCCTCTGCGCCGTCATCGCCGTCCACTGAAAGAGTCTTCCCAGCCAGAGGTCAAAACTCTACTGGACTCTAAGACCTGAAGCCGAGAGTTTTGGCCTTGCTGGCTGCGGCGAGGTCACAGCTCTGCTCGATCAGGGACACGTAGACTAACAGTAGCCGGGCTGTCTCCCCAGTTGAGTGGAGTTCTTACATCCAGCTGGGACGACTGACTGCTTTTTGTTTTTTCGGCCCAGGTCCGTGCACTTGCTCCAGCTCCCTTCCTCGAGCTCCCGTGCCATGGTCGGCCGTCGCGATCCATGAAGCGCCGTCGACGGCGGCGGATTTGCCGGACGATCGCGTTCGCAAGCCGAGCCTGGCGCGGTGTGGCCAGCTTGGACGCCTGCGATGGCAGATGTGCCAATCATGTTGCCAGACATGGACGATGAGTGCTGGTATTGGGGCTCCACTTTCCAGCTGACACCTGCCGTCCCACTTGGAAAGGCAAGGTATCAAAACTCTGCTCGACTGCCGGCCTCGCAGCCTGCAAGTGCTGCCAGTCGAGTAGAGTTTTCGCATTTGGACCTCCTCAGCCATGTTCCTGCCCGTTTTCAGCCCTTAGCTGTTCCATGAGGATTCTCCCTTTCCAGGCTGTCCCGGATTTGTTCAGGCGCGCCCGATAGGCAAAGGAACTGACATGTTTGCAGCTCCTTTCCCAATGTCAAGACCTTCAACTTCACCCAAATGTCGAAACTCTTCCCCGGTGTTCCAAAACTTGCGAGCCTCCCGCCAGTCAAGTAGAGTTTTCACGTGTCCGGCCCCAAAGCCATGGCCTTCACCGTTCCGAAACTTGGACGTTCCACGTGGCAACAAGCTTGCCCCAGGATCGCCGCCGTTCTCCCTTGCGAGGCTGTCCCAGATTCGTTGCACCGCGCCCCATGTGCACGGGGGGCCGGCCAAACCTCTACCAGCGATAGTCGCATCTCGAGCCAAGAAGCGCGACGCTCTAGTATATACATATATATATGCTCACGTTTTCCCTTCATGGAACTACATTTTGTCTGGTTCAACCAGATCTGAAGGATCATTTGTTCATCTGATCATCTGCTCATCTGTGCCTGCACCCCCCCAAGTATTAACATGTCCTCAAATTCAATGCAACAATGTGAAAGTGATGAGGAAGTGATGAGGAAGTGAGGAGGAAGTGAGGAGGAAGTAGTGATGAGGAAGAGGTGAGGAAGTGATGAGGAAGTAGTGAAGAAGTGATGAGGAAGTGATTCATTGGAACAGCTCAGACTCCAAAGTCGTTTGCCAAAATTATTGGCCCTACTTTCCATACGATAATGTAGATGAAGACCTATTTGTAGAGGCTTGAGGCTTAGGCGGGTTGCAACTCTTGCCGCTTCCGCAGAGTGCCCTAGTGGCAAATGCCTTTCTGGCATCGCGATCTGAGCTGCAAACCAGTGAGCGGTCCTGGCCCTGAGCGAGCTGCTGCGCTGAGTCAGCGCATCACTGCCTTTTTCCTCTTGAAGCAAGCTGACCAATACCCCGAAAAGCAACAAAAGCTCGAGGAACAAAAAAACGATGAACAAGAACAACTGAGAAAGCCAAAACAAAAACACAAGAGAATGGCTGGCTTGGCCTCAGATTTAGTTTTTAGTTTTATCGTTTTTTTTTTGTTGGTCTTTGTTGGCTTTCCTCGACTTGTTTGGTTTTTGTAACTTTTTGGGCCGAAAAACACCACAAATAAGTACATTGCTATTGGTGTTTGATGAGCACGGGGCGTGCACAATCAACACATACTCCGTTTGTTTTGGGTTTTCGGCTTCAAACTCCAAGAGCCAAAAAAGCCAAGGAGAAAAAACAAAAAAAACACCTCGAACCGACCACAAAACCAAAAATATGAGGCTAGACCAGCCAGTCTCTTGTTTTTCTTTGTTTTTCAGTTTTCTCAAGGCTTTCTGTTTTTGCTTTTTGTTTGTTTTTGGTTTTCCTCGAGTTGTTTGTTTTTGATGAGTAAGGGGATGCAGCAAAACACATCCTGCAAGAGTTGTGGCGTCCTAGCCTTTGTTAGCAAGAACAAGAGCAAACGCACGGCAGTACACATTCAGTAATGAAGAGATAGCAAGCGTTGCATCTTGAATGCTTAGTTGTCTTTTCATTGTATGTTTTTGGGCTTGGTATTTGGTGGCTATTCGCAGTCAAAAAGCGACAAAAACATGGTGTTGCGCAGTTTTACCTTCTGAGAAACGCTTTGTTGCAGAGCGAAATACGGCCTAGTAATTCCTTACAGTTGTGCACCCAAAACGTACACAACACTGTAACTACCAGTGTTTCTGACGGGTGGCATGAACGAAATTGCCCTACATGTAGTTCACGGGGCGGGGGGGGAGGGTCGTGTGTGTGTGTGTGATCATTTACATATGGGTGTGGGTCAAAATTAAACCAACAGGGGACCGCAGATTTTGGTCCATTTACCAGGGTTCCATTTTGGGGACCTATTTTTGACCCGCTGCCATATATATATAGACACATACATATGCATGTATGTCTATGTATATGTATATGTATATGTATATTTATATGTATATGTAAATGTATATGACGCATACACCCAGGATCGTAAGTTGGGAGACAGAAGGTGCAGAAAGCGCTGGGTAGAGATCGACTTTTTCGGCAAATCTTCCCAAATTCTGATTGTGTATAGGTCCATATGTCCTTTGGGTCCATCCAAGCTTTCTCAGCAGCTTTTCTGAGCATCTGCCTCTCAGCAGCTTGCGCGTTGCGCTTCCGAGGGGCCCTTTGCTTGCATTCAAAGGCTGGTTGAACGGGTCCGTTTCGCAGGAGGGCGGCAAGCCAGACAGGGAGGCCGGATCGGTCCGCGCGACCCGAGAGAGAGCAAAACTAAGCGCTTTGGTCGGGATTCTGGCAAGAGGCTTTCAAACCAAAGTATGGGGGTTGATCAATATGCATGCCCCCAAATGACCATGGGTAACTTTTCACATTTAGTGGGACATAGCATTTTCTTAAAAGTGGTTTTCTCAATGATCAAAGCGAGGATGCCCGGCCGGCCCCGGCTGCGAATCGCTGGGGGCTTGGCAAAAGCTGGGTGCACGGCTGAGCGAGTGATTTTGTTGCCAGACCGTATATATTCTGACAAGGGCATAAGTCCACGTGGCCGACAACGGTTGCAAGAGGGAGAAAGACTTGGTGGTTTCACAGCTCAGGAGGATGCTATTTTAGTCAGCGGCAGTTGGACACGGCTAGGACTTTTCCTAGGAGTGGGTGGAGACAGAAATCCTCACCTAAATCACGTCCACCAGTTTGTGCCCCCAAATGGCCATGGGTCAAAATCCCGTACCCCCAGTGAACATCCAAATCCCCACTAAAATAGGTTCTAAAATGGGTACACCTAGGTTTTGACAACCACAGCCAAATGGGCAAAAACTGGGCGGAACCTGCTCAGAGCTTGGCTTCCTGTGGGAGCCGACCGAGGCCGGCCCGAGCGCGGCGCCGGGGTTCCCGCAGAGAGGCGTTCGAGCCAAACCGAAGACTCGGTCGATGGCTTCCGGTTGCTCATGGAGGGCCTGGTTTTCCTCAGACCCCGAAATGATATTTGGGGGCTCGAAGGATCCAGTGTCTTCCTTTGGCTGTTTTTTGTTGTGCCTGTTGGTTTTTAAAGGGAATCACTGGACACATGAGTTGATCTTTGTTTTCTGTCGCAAAAACACATCTGTGAGGTCTTGGTCATTAGGCATAGGGATGAGCTGGAGTCCTTTGGGTCCCGGTTTTTCTACTAGATTTGGTGCCTTCTTCCCTCAGGTCTCTGAGCGTTCTTGGGTTCGCTGAGCTGTGAGCGAGTCACCACACATGCAAACCAGAGCGGCTTCAACCAATTCGTGTTGACACATTTTGATGGGCATCATTTGGGCACTTTGGAGGTGGCTTCCTGCGAAAATTCACAGCCAACTGCTCTCCACCTGAGAGGTGGAGGGGTCACATTGAGGCCACTTTCCCACCATTTTCTCTACCCGGATGGTGGCCAATTCCAGGTCGCAGCGTCCAGAAACTCTGGAGTGGTGATTCCCCGACTTCAATGCCAACAAACATAAATCGTTTCAAGCATGGTTTCCTAGGTGGCGATGTCTGGATGTCGCAACCATCCACACAACTTTTTTGGGGCTTGGATCGTCTGCTCTCATTTGCGCCTCGGATGTCATCCTGAGGCCCGAGACGGCCGGGACCGGGACGGCCGGGACGGCCGGGACCGCCGGGAGCGCAGCAGGAGAGCGGAATCGGGCAGGTCTTGGAGCCGCTGGGGAAGGGAAATGCCATTCAGGAAGAATTGAAGATATCGACCGTTTCTTCGCCTGGCCATGCCATTCCTCACTTTCTCTCACTTGTTTTTTTTGCATCTCTATGTTTCTCGCCTCAGAGAAATGATCATTGGCGAGATGAAAAGGAGATGAGAAGAGATGCCTTCCACCAGCAACCGCTTCATGGTGTTAGGAAGGGAATGGGAAAGAGGATTAGCGAGTCAAGGGACATCCACTCGCTTCTTTATCTCTCTTTCCTCTTCGCCATGGAGAGAAATCCTTTTTTTTGGGGGTTCTGATTTTCAAGGCAATCACATATTTGCACAATTGTGGGAGAGCACACTTCAAGAAACAACCAAAGGAACACGAGCATTCTGTTGTGATCCCTGTTTTGAGACATTTACTGTCATCTACATCGAGAGCCCTTGGATGATTAGACTGGAGTTGTGGAGGCCTTCAACAACAAGTTATGTCAAGGTCGTAAGAGAGGCTTCCGCCGCGTTACTGTAGTCATGGTGCCCCAATGTGCTTACGGGCTCAATAAGGGCTTATTTGGGCTCCCTCCCCCTCCCCTCCCTCCCTCCCTCCCTCCCTCCCTCCCTCCCTCCCTCCCTCCCTCCCTCCCTCCCTCCCTCCCTCCCTCCCCCTCCCTCCTCCTCCCTCCCTCCCTCCCTCCCTCCCTCCCTCCCTCCCTCCCTCCCTCCCTCCCCCTCCCTCCCTCCCCCTCCCTCCCTCCCTCCCTCCCCCTCCCTCCCTCCCTCCCCCTCCCTCCCTCCCTCCCCCTCCCTCCCTCCCTCCCTCCCTCCCTCCCTCCCTCCCTCCCTCCCCCCCTCCCTCCCCCCGAGCCCCCATGATGTAGTCAAGGGATGATATTGGGTGCAGTCTCCGAATTGCCAAACGGGCTGCACGCACCAACTTTCCATGTCAAAAGCTGGGAGATCCCATTCCCTACTCAGGAAGTGGCTGGTTCAGCTGGTTGCATTGATGTGGGATCATTGAATCTGGGCTCATGAAGGGACCAAGAGCTGGAATTCACCGCTTGTGGGTAGGGGAATCAATCCCACTGTCGCCAGGAGCCGCGGGCGCCAGGAGCTCGAGTTGGGGCTTTTAGTCTTCGCTTCCTTTTTGTTTTTTTGAAGCTTGTTGCCCGTTCGCCAAGGTTTGGGTGTTCCTGAAATTTCTCCAGATTCTCCCCCTCAGCCAACAGCTGAATCTGCGGGGAGGGAGGATTGAGGATTCGGCCAAGTTTGCAGGTAGGTGTCTTCATCGTTGTTGTGGCCCAGACATCGAACTTTCCCTGGCCATTGGGGAGGTTCCTCGCAAAGGGTTGATTTGGCCGATTTGGCACAGAACAAGGCCCTCCCCCTCGCTTTTCTGCCAGAAAAGACTGTAGGAACAGGGAGGGTGAGCAGGTTACGCACATGGCTTAATTTGGCCAATGATTTCACAGATTCTAGGAGGTATTTCAAGGCAAAGTGGTCAAAGCACCTCAAACAAATGAACACAACTAGCCCTTCCGCTTCGGGCAAGACCCCCATGTATCCCAATTTTTGGTGTTGGGTTCCAGAGCTGCCGATACTGCACTTTGCCAGCATGAAATCTGTCTTCTTTTTGGAGGCTGCTTTTTTTTGGGCTTGTTTAAAGGGACACCAACAGAAAAAAAAACGCAATTCTTGAGGGGTCCCCAAAAAAGGACAGACACATGCACTTCTTTTGGTGTGTTGTTCCTTGGCCGACCCCAAAGTGAAATGAGTCGAAACCGCTGCTCAAATGGGCGTCAAAAGTGGCAGGTGTCCCATTGATGGCGTTGGGTTCAGTCTGGTTCTGATCATTTGCCAAAGGATGTCACAGACTACTTTCCTTGGGGGAAGCACTCCTGCGCTTCCATGATTGCTAGAAAGAGGGTAGGCGAGTGGCCCTGTTTCGAACCACAAAGTCACCGCCCTTGAGAACATTTCGTCACCGCCCTCTTGCGGCGACTCAACCCGACGTCGCCGCCCTTGGCTCGACGGGTTTATAGACGAGCAGGGCGCCTCTCGATTTTGTGCCGGCACCTCAGGCAGTTGTCTTGGGTCGAGAACGTTTTGGAGAAACTGTGAACTTGTCCAAAAACCTTTTGGAACTTTTTGGAGGAACTCACAACAAGCTGAACACTTTTTGCGGAGGCCTTCCACCATCAAGCGGTCCTTGTTCTTGAAACCTGACCAGGGCTGCTCGCTCGCTCTATCCAAGGGTTTTTTCGCCCAGGGGCCTCACCACCCACCCTCCATGGGTAGAATGGGAGAAGGCAGCGAACCATTTCTGGAGGCCTGGGAGAGAAACGTCATGTTTCTGGAACCGGATCCGGCGGGCGTTTGCGAAAACCAGATCTGCGGCTCCAAAACTAATCGCCAGTTGCCAATTGCCAGACGCACTCTGTGGCTTCCTTGAACATTCTATAGTGGACCCCGAATTATTTTGACCCTGATAAAATAGACCCTATGGAAATGGGTGGTTTCTTTTTTTGAAGTGGTGCTCACTTTACCCTTTTGCCGTCTTGCCCACTTGTGTCACTTTAGGGCTCGGATCGCTCGGATCGCTGCCCTGGGGCTTCTCGAGCGGCTGAGGTGACGCTCAAGAAACTTGGCAGCCATGGATGCCAAGGACGAAGACGCAGCCGCCGAGTTTTTTTCTTCGTCTTCGAGTAAAAGGCCCCTGGTTCCGTAGGAGCATGAGACATGGAATGACCAAACAAATGAGACATGGAATAGCCCCAAGAAGAAACAGCCAACTTGTGGAAACCTTTAAGGGGACCCCTGGAACCCATTCCCAAAAGCCGGAAGCTCAGATTGAGAACCAGCAAGAAGACGCTGCTGTTGATTCGCGAACATTTTGGCCATCGGCGCACTAGAAAAAGAGGCCTAAGGGGGCGGATCGATCGGCCACCTAGGAACGGTTAGTATTGGAAGTTGTCTAAGTGGGTTGTGCGTATGAACTTGCCAAGTGCCAAGTAGCCTGTCCCTCAGGCAGTATCCATGCTTTAAAATGGCACACCACTTCAAAGACTCGCACCATGTTGGGTTAGCAGGGTATTGTCATGGCTAGTCGCCGCTTGTCAACCTTGGGAACACATCAGATATAATTTGGTTACAACTGGAGGGAACTTCTTCATGATCGTTGGGTTTCTCAAGGCTTCAGCTGGGCCAGTTCTTTGAGAATCATTTTGCCATGTCGCTTGCCCAATTGGGAGCACGCGCAGAGGTTGCTTTACTTTGGACCTCCTTCTACCCGGGCAGCTCGCGGATTTCGACAGGAAGCGCAGAAGCAGATTGAGCAGATGAAGGACGTGAGACCGGCAGCTACTTGTCATGCCACCTTCCCCGAAAAATTGGGAGCTCCAAGCCCCCGTCTAAAGATGATATTTGCACGTCGGTCTGTACTTGGGTCTGGGCTAGGTCAACCACAAGGTAACCCCAAAATGTTTAAAATGGGTTACCCGATCGGTAAATGGAAACAAGGACTAACACCTGGGCACTCATGTCATTCGCTGGCAGAATGGGGCTTAGCCGGCGAGGACTTCATTTTGGCTGAGGCGAAGGACAAGGCCCGCCTGCGAGCGACCGTTCGTTCCTTTTCCTGCACGAAACGGGAATCCCAAGATGACAGGCATAGATTTTCGTGGGCAAGGCCCACTTCTGGCATAAAACACCTTAGTGTCACAGTGTGCACAATTCTGTCCGCGCTTGCGCACGGCTCTCGATGGTTTCCACTTCCCCCAAACAACTACAGTACCAGGCGGTTTGGGCAAAGGGCAACCTCAAATGGAAGCGAACCAGGTGTGTCTCTATTTGAGGGCCCCTTTTGGGGTTTGGTTTCAAGGGACACCAGCAGCCATTTCTTCCTCTTTTTTTTTTTTTTTTGGGGGGGGGGGGGCACAAACAAAAGAGACACAGCCAACCACTTTACGGTACCGATTCAAGCATTTCGAGGCCGGCAAGCAAACGAAAACCAGGCGAATGACATCCAGAAGAAGGGCGAGGAGGAGTTCAGCATCGAGGCAAGCGATGTCGATGTGGATCTTTCGCGCCAGTCCCTTGGTTTTTGGGGAAGCAACACCTGGGTGTTCCCCGCAAAAAACGGCATGGGAGTCGCCTAAAATGGTATGCTTTTCGGGTTTGGGAGGGCAATTTCGATCCGAAGGAGGTGGACTTTTTGCGGCCAGAAGTGAGTTACGGCCAGCGGGCTCGTGAGTTCCAGAGGTTTCGCTGTGCGACTTGTTTTCCACCATTCGGTCTTTCCGCGAGGTCTACCGCCTCATCACCGAGCAGAAGGAGACCGTTCGGAGGGTGTGTCTAGTGGCTTGTATTCTGGAAGCCAAAATGACGACCACCTATTTTATGGGTCCCCCCACCATTTTTGACACGCACAAACACAAAAGCGGGTTGGGGTTGCCCAAGTGGGCACGGCTTCCAGGAACTGTTCGCGCAGGGTTCAGGGTTACAGTCGCCACAATTCCTTTCGTCAAGTTTTTCTTTGGGAGCTCGAGTTTGTAATGTCGGGTTCGGATGAATAAGCCCTTGGAATATTTTTTGCTTTCGGGAGGTGCTGCCCCTAAAAGTGGCCGGGATCCAACCTTTCAATGGGACACCCTCTCTGCGACCGGGGCTGCTCCGCTCTGCTCAGCCCAATCCTGGTGTGTTTTAAACTAGAGGACCCACACATCAGGAATATATATCCGATTTTCATTGGCTTCTCTCACTTCCAGGCCCTTCAGGCCTTTATGCTGCTTTTGGGACAGAACAACGCAGACATAACGTAAGGGGCTGGATCATTCCAAGCGTTACCCTCCCACCAATTCACATGGAACCTGACAAGGGGTCCCTTTAAAGGAGAATGGTCTTCCAGGACCCTCCGTCAGGTTCCATGCGAATTGGTGGGAGGGTATACCTTACGATCATGACTTAACATTTGGTTTTACATACCGCCAAACCCCAGTCTGATAATTGTTTAGCCTGCATGGTAGTCAGGTAACTGGTGGTTTGGATTGGTAGCTTAGAAATTTGAAAACCTGGTTTCAGAGTCCTTGCAGAGGGTAACTGCAAACCACCTAACCGGAACATGATCCAACAGGGCCCCAGCCACCAGTAAACAGTAAACAGTCGCTGCGGTATCCGCGAGCGCGCTTACCTGTCGTGCTGACACACAAGCACTTTCTTGCCGGTGGGTTTCTGGGGCATATTTAGGGTACTGTAGATTAAAGATGAAGCGTCCTCTGGACACATGATTTTGTGTGTAGTCCGCTTGTTTGTGGGCCAAGGTTCTAAACGTCTTGCTTTTGGTGGTCTTGAGGCAATAGCTGCCGCTTTCGTTTGGCCATTCTGTGAAGTACAGTCCGCATGGCATCCGCTCTGCTAGGGTTTCGTTCCTTTGGTTCTCCTTTGGTTAGTTGAGTTCTAGTCCGGGTTTTTCAAAGTCAGTCTAGCCAGGGGCCCCTAGCAATGGGATAGGTTTAAAAACCTGGGGTTCCCATACATTTTTTGCCCAGAGTCCTTAGTCCTTATGCCACGTGACGCTGGTTGCCCTGGTTCTTGCGTCCCACTATGTATGACGTTAGGATTAGAGACCCAAATTTGACCAAGCCAGCTAGGCAGTTGCAGGGGTGCGATTTGTGTTTTGAGGGTGCCATGGCCTAAACGAAACCGATACTTCTCGTTTTCTGGCAGCCGAAACTTAAGCTTTCAGGGCAGCATGTTGCCAGGAGAAGGTCCGACAGACCTATGAGAAGAAGACCAAGCAGATCGAGACGCAGTGCGCGATTTTCGAGAGATATCTTCCAACCCTTATTTCAGGGAACCCTCAGTGGTGGTTTGGATTGGGGGTTTGGGGATGAGAACCCTGGCTTTTGTGAAGGGTACATGGGAAACCACCCCCTAACCTCCCAACCACCAATCCAAACCAATCAGAGAGGAGCTTGAAGAAGCAAGCGTCTCAAAGCACCACGGAAGGCATGCTGGTTTTGTTTGCTTACTGCTTCAGGGGATTCATGTCTGCTCAATCTGTAGACCCTGCGGAAAGCACAGTGGCTGACCGCCAGGAGTAATTTGCATCGCCGCGACAACCTCTCTCCCAGTGGCGGCGCCGCAAAGATGGTAGAATTCCTCTCATCATTGGGGCCATTTCCCAGTTTTGAGGGTAGTTTCAGGGTCCAACCATATTTGGGTGGGTCTTGTTTTGAGGCTACCCCTTTTGTTGGTTGGTTTTAGAGGGACACCAGGAGGACAACCCACCGATTTCGGTGGGTTCCCTACCCAAAAAAAGGGACACCAGGAAGGACCACCACCAAGGGTGGGGCGTTCCCTAGAAAAACGAGCGACCCCCATGTTTGGCCGTCCCCTGGCCACCTGCCTCGCCTTCGTCTCATCGGCTCGCGGCTCGCGAGGTACGCGATCGCGCGGTCCATGGCGATCAACAAGCAGCGACTGGAGAAGATCAAGGCGCGACCTCCGGGGCGCCGGGACTTGGATCTTCACTTTTTTTTCTTTTTCTTTTTTCCCCCGTGACAGGTTTGTTGTTGGGGTTCCTTGGGTTTTCCCAGATGGTTGTTGATTCTGTTCAGGTTTAGTGGGTGGCGGCAACAGTTGACATCTTTGTTTCATGGTTTTGTGAATCGTTTGTTTTTAGTGGGTGACATTTTCACTTTTCTAGTGGGCGGCTGCAAAATCACCGTCTTCTGCTCACACGCCAAGGATAGGAAAGTTCAGACAAGTCACAATCAATAATGATTCGGGTTAGTGTGTGAAGGCTGGTAAGGGACAGTTCCGCCCATGAACAGGTGCGGCAAGAGGCCCTTCTGATTCTTAACATAGTCGGGTAGACCATTTTGATACCAGGTCTTGATTGTGACTCAGACCGCTCAGGAATTACGTACAATACTTCTGAAGTTGCAAGTCCCACTTATACCCCTGCTTATAACCTACTAATATGGTGGACACATAGGGTCGGTTTTGCAACCATAGACACGTTTGGTTTTCGGACTTCCCAAGTGTCCGCGTCGCCGGTGGACACTTCGGACTTGGGGCCTGGTTTGCCACTTTCTTTAGGGTAACTGGTTTTCAGGATTTTCCACAACCGCAAGACACAGGGAGCAACTTCCTCCCCGAATGTTACCCATGAAGAACGTCGTTTTTTGTCTTCAAGTATTTGAGCGCCAACTCCAAGGCCAGGGGACCGCAGGTTGTAGTCCTTGGTTCCATTTACCAGGGCAAGCCATTTTGGGTACCCATTTTTGACCCACAGCCAGATCACTTTTGCGTGTAGCCCCTCGGGGGGCAACTTTTTTGGGGCTCGGATCAACCATCCCGTGAGGCCCGGCAGGAGGTGATGCACAAGGTGCGGAGTGAAGCTGAAACTCGCCGGCGAGCAAGATGCTACAACCCGGTCTCGCGCAAAGCTTGAAGCAGACGGATCGCTGAACTTGTTACAAGTGGCTTTTCTCCTTTTTGGGCCGCAAGTCCTTTTTCTTTCAAGCAAAGATCTCAACTTTTGCTGGGGTATCTAAGTTTGGCCCAGAACAATTTTGGTTTAAACATGAGCCATCGCTACAAAGGTACATATAAGGGATATGTATTTGTTCCCTTTGCATTTGTTTTGGTGGGTTCCCCGCACAATTCCTTGGTATTAATTTCCAGATTCTTCGTTGGATTCCCCTGCAACAATGGCCGGACGAGCAAGTTGAAGTTGAGTAAGTTGGTAAGCAGGTTGCTTCTCACTGACAGGGAACCTCCCCCTTGCTTTTGGGAGTCATTGTGCCTTGAGTGGTATCACTGTGTTTGCTTTGCTGCACAGGTCTCCAACGACGCGCAGGTGGACATTGTGAAGGACCTTTGCCAGCGATCGCTGGGCAAAGTCGGGACTCCGCACAGAACGCGTGACATGAAATCGAACCACAGCCCAAAGTGCGTGCCAACCGGTGTCGTTTCCCCAACAGCTGGAAGCTATGGGGTTTAAAAGTCCAGATAGGCTCTGGAAGTGGTTTGGGGCAGCTTTGAGGGGTCCAGCCGGGTTCCGAGGCTGGAATCCGCCTGGGCTTCTCCTTTGCAGAAAGAAGTGGCACAATGGAGCTTGCAGGCTGTTTCAGACAGCTGTGGAAGCTGTGATCAGCGTCTCCAACGTTTTTTTTTTGCTGATCCCTGATTGCTATTCCCCCCCCCCACTTATTCATCTCAACCTCATTTCAGCGAGGTTTCCTTTCAACCCTTTTCATGAATGTCTGTGCTTACTTCTCAGGGGTCAACACTAGCCCGGAGATGCAAAAGCCGACGCTTGCTTCCTTACCTTGATTGTTCGAAGACAAATCCGCGCCAAAAAGCCACCCTTGATTGCTACTGGTAGCCTCCAAAAAGAGTCCCACTTTTTGAGTTCTTGGACTTGAGTCACTCTTCGGGTTTCTAGAAAACACAACCACAGCCAGGTGTGGGTCAACATGAAACCACCAGAAAAACCGCGGGTCTTGGTCTTGGTTTCCATTTGCCAAGGCAACCCATTTTGGGGTTCTCCTGTTTTTCTAGCAGCTGGACGTGAGCGAGGAAGTTTCTGCCAGGAGCTTGCCAAGTCCGACACCTCCAAGAAGTGGGCCTCCCCAGCGGGCTCTCAGAAAGCTGGCCATTCGAAGGGTCCCGACGCCCGACCTTTGGGACGAAGGATGGGCCAAAGCGTGTCCTCAAAAACAAAGGGTGGGCCAAAACCCCGCATCAAAAGGCCAGGGTAGGCCAAGGCCGGCCAAAATGAGGTTCCCTCCAAAACAAGGGTAGGCCAAATGGACCATCTGAACATCTGATTGGTGTTCTTTGATGACTCGGTTTCAAGATGCTCGGCTTGGCGTCAAGCTGGACAGGTCTTTGAGTGCTACCGGAGGTTTGCACCCGGACTTGGAAGAACTCCCCGTGACGATGGGAGTGGTTGCCACTGGAAAGGATTTGCGAGGAAGCGTGCCAGTGGGCCCCTTTTATATAACATTAGCAACCAACAAACAGACAACAGGGGGTTATTTTGCCCACAGGCACTGGGAGTCTGGGCAAAAAATCCCGCAACAGCGGACTCACCTCGTTTCGAACCATTGATGCGAAATTCGAGCGCGGCTGTGTGTGTTTTTTGCTATCTGACGTATGAGAATAAGAGAAGAAGGGGGTTGCTCACATGGGTAAGAAAACAGCTCACCCGTGAAGGTGCTTCACTTGGGAGTGATTTGGCGGTGGGTCAAAACCAATGGTACCACTTTGGGGTAGGTGCACCACTTATTTGCTCACGATTGGTTCCAATACAGTTCCTTCTAGGCAGGGGGCAACGGAGTTTAAGCTTGTCCCCCCAGCATCAGTTTCTTTTTGGCGACTCCACTGGATTTGTTCTATGGATCTGTGCGAGCGGCCTGAAGAAGGTCTTAGCCAGCGATAGTCCCCACGCCTTCAACTCATGCGAAGCTCCGTGACGCGAAGCTCCGTGATGCGAAGCTCCGTGACGCGAAGCTCCGTGACTTGCAACTGGGACATGGGCTAGGTCCCCAGTAGGGCCCTTTTACCAACTTTTTTTGCGGGGGAGGGTTGCCCTACTAAAATAGACTACAGACAAAAGTTGGTACCCTTATTCTAACCTCAATACTGGAGCAGCTAGTGGGAACCCCTCACATGGTTTTCCCTTTGGCTTCCAGAAAACGCGCGCGCGTCCACATTGAGGTTCATCACCCAGCTGCTCCTGCAGGGCATGCTGATGCTGCTGGAGAACGAGGCCCATCCGAGGTTTGGCATGCCTCCCCTGTTGAACCAATGGGTACCAACAGGAACTTGCCAGAAACCTTGGCGGTTCCCAGCCATCCCCTTAGCTTCTTAGTGTTTAGCCGGGTTTAGCGGGGGTTTCCATTTCACCCATTTAAAGATTAAGCTTTTGGCAGCGGATCTGGGGACAGTCCAGCAGCATGGGGTTCCCCAACCAAACCACTCGGTTGCATATCACCCCCAGGGCTGCTTCAACGAGTGTGCTATTGGCGTGATGTTTTCTTTTTGGGGGGACATGTCCGACCGGGACGTGGATCCTTCAGAATCTAGACACGGGCAGTGAGCCAAAATCAACCGTGTGGGTACCCTACAGGCAAGTTTGGGGTTGTGACGTGGAAACAACTCTACCAACCACTCCTATTCAAGTCACTCGGTTTGGGAGGGAGATTCCCATGTAACAGAAAGGAATGGCCTTCCAATGAGAAACACGGGATGGCTTCAACTGCATTCTCCGTGAATATAATATTGTTGTGGGGTTTGCTGTCAGCAGAACCAAAACGCAATACCCTCACATTCACCAACACGGAACCTGTCCTGGAAGCGCATCATGACAGGGATTGTCCGGTGGGTCCTATCTTAGTGTACTGGAGGGTAGTATATATCTGAAAGTCAAGTAAGTACGGTGTGTCTGTTTTTACAGGAACCCCTTTTGGGATGGTTGTACATGGACACCAGGAAAAACACAATGTTTGGGGTCCACCAATTTGGAGCAACCCCATATGAACCAGGATCTGAACATATCACAATTGGGCGAAAGTAGATGACGGCGCAACTCCCCCATTTGCGTTGCTCATCCCCTTTTGCTTGCACACAAGAACGGAGTCCTGGCATCTACTTTTACTCCAATGCATGTTTGGTGGGGGTCCGCGGCCGCAGAGATCTAAAGATCTCTTTCTTCTTTGAAATTTAGAGGTTCTATAGCAAATTGGATGGCACCATACCCTTCAAGTACCAGGTTTAGGTTTAACTTCCCATATTGTTTGTTCCTCGAGCTGGTTTCTTAGAAGAATCTCAACGAAATATGTTTGGCCGGGGGCTTTTGTGCGGAGGTAGTCAAGACGTGCGAGCCATGAGGTGGTTGTTCGATGCCGACAGCGTGGGGCCCAGCTTGGCAAAGTTTGTTTAAGCAGCACCCCCTTTAAAGGGAAACCCAGAGGAGGTTGTTTGAAGAAAAAACACGTAGATCATGGGGTAGACTTAGGATACATTTTACATTTCATTTTACCAGTGACTCAAAGTGAAGCAAACAGTAAAATATACATTCTATAACTGGGCCTAACTCTAATCATGGATCATGGATTTAGACATCTTTAAACAAGGGGCATATTGCTGTTGACCCCAAAGTAGTGTCCACAGCCAGTTTCCTTCTAATAATTTGCCAGCACTTAAAGGGCACCTAGCCAGTCCAGTAAGGGGGAAGAATCCGCGTGCCCCCATGGAAAGTCAGCGTGAGGGCCCGGACAATCATCTCGCCCCGGTGATTCATCAGGGGCATCCCTGTCTAGTAGGGGTTCTGCTACGCTTCAAGCCTCGGTGACTTTGTGGTTCTCTTCTTTCGTTTGCTTCAGGCTCTTGGTTAGCTTTCCCTGTTTTCTTGGAAGGAACCGGCCATGACTGGTGAATATGTTTCTCTTTTTTTTTGAACCATCCATTTGCTTAAGAACATATATATATATATATTTCCTCTTGCTGTTTTTGAAGGGCACTACTGGAAACATATTTGCGTTTTTTCCAGGGGGCTCATTTCAAATGGAAGTAACACTAATGCTCATTGTTCACGTGTGCCGAACGTCTCTCTTCCTTTGCCAGGACGGAGGCCCTCTGCTTCCCCCCGGGACAAGCTCCGAAGCGAATCCACCTTTTATTCTTTTGGTTTTTCCATTGTGAGGACCATCTTAAGTCACCCCAAGAGGTGAAACATGTTCATTTCTGGGTCCAAGCTGGGTGTGCGCAAGTGATTTTAAGGTTGAGCTGGCGAATGAGACAACTCTCAAAGTCAACCCACCCTCTCAAGACGCTTAAAATGGTTGTGCCCTCCGCAACCAATCAATGTGACAATGGTTGTGACATGAAGTCAATTGCAACAAAAATGTGAGAAGCCTTTTAATGTGAGAGCCATCCACCCTTCCAATGGTTTCTCCAATGTGACAACCATTTCAAGTCACCCGAGGTGTTTCAAGGTTCATTTCTGGGTCCAAGCTGGGGTGAGCAAACTTTACTTCGGGAGGCTCCGAACTCGGTTCCTTCCCGAATTCCCGAGTTTCTTGGGGTATTTCTTTTAGAGCTTCCATGGGCTGAACAGAATCTTTTCCTTTAGTTTCTCTGTGTTGGTTTTTTAAGGAACTCTGTCACTCTACTAGACATGGATCGTATTTCTTTTATTTTTCAGTGTTGGTTTTTGAGGAACTCTGTCACTCTACTAGACGTGGATCGTATTTCTCTTCTTTTTTTCTGTGTTGGTTTTTAAGGAACTCTGTCACTCTACTAGACATGGGTCGTCAGTTGCAGTTTTTACAAAGCAACTCTGACTGATGTTTAAGGAAAAGTGCCTGGACAAAGTAGGAACTTGGCTATCCAGGTATGTTTTGCCTTTCCAGGGGATGAAACCGCACCTGGTTGTAATGGGAGTTTCGGATTAATAACCCAGCCATAGGGGGGGGTGTCACCCACACAGGTGCAGGATTCCCCACTTCCCCAAAAGCAGGGCTTTATGAATCTGGGGTCGACATTGCCACGCACCAGCTTCTACCTGGACTTGTCAACCCTGAAAAATGGGGGACACCTCATGGTTTCGGGGAAGATCCAATTGGGTCCAGCCGCCTGCCACCTTTCCGCCTCGGGATTCCGAAATGTACGCTCAACTTCCAAACCTCAAAGTTGTTCACTCCGTCAGCTTCGGAATTTCCAAAATGTGGGTATGGGTCAAAATTAAGCCACCAGGGGACCACAGGGTTTAGTCATTGTTCCCATTTACCAGGGTTCCATAGGGTTCCCAAAACGGGTTCCTATTTTTGACCCACAGCCATGGTGATCTTCAGATTCCTAAGCCTCGGTGCCCTTTTGATCGGTTGGTTTGGTTGAACGTAGAGTCGGGCTCCACTGGTCTAGATGGGTTCTATGACCCATCTATGTTCCCAGGCGAACCCATCTCAGTTCCCCAACAGAACCTGGGGGTTTCCACGTTCAACCCATTGAAAGTCAACCAAAGGTCGAGCCGAAAACGGGTCGGCCCAGTTGGCTGTGGCTCAGAAAAAGGTTCCATAATGGCACCTGGGTACATGGAAGCAGAGCTTAAAACCTGAAAGTACCCCTAGCTCTTCAATTTTGAGCCACACCCATATTGGGGTTGTGTCCACATGGCTGTTGTCAAAACCGTTTTGGTTGATCCCATTTTGGCAGGTGAATTCACCACCGAAATTTTAGTCGTCGATTTTAGTGGCGACCCGGTTCTCCTAAGATGGCGGCCCGATGGCTCAGCCGCTGATCGAGTCGAGAACTCGAGGTCCGACAAGGGCCTCGTGGAGGGCTGCTTGAAGGAGGGAGCGGGTTGACGGGGAGGTTTTGGCTGGGGAGGGGCGCACGCACGCTCTTTTTCTGAAGGCTCAAAGGAAGGCTCAAAGGAAAACCCACCCATTTTTGCTGTTATTTGTTTTGTGTGTTCATGTTTTTTGCAACTTTTTTTTAATGATAAATAGATAAATAAATATATATATATATATATATATATTTGGGGCGGGGAGGGGGGGAAGTTCGTGTTTTCATGAGGGTACCAAATTGTTGGGTGCCCGTTTTGCCTTCAAGAGGGAAGTCAGCGGGCAACTGATCCTCAGCGAATCGACCAGATCTGACCTTTTGCTTCCTTCGTTCTGGCAACCATTTTGGATGGCCCCAAACGGTCATCGCCTTCGATTTCTGGTCCTTTGGGCAACTGAGAAATGGGTTCGCGTTTCTGAGGTAAAAAAAGGAAAACAAACAGAACAACTTGCGCCAGGTTTGGGGCACGCCATTCAGGCTCGCAAAATTAGGGACGCCTACAACTTTCTGGGAATGTGCACCCCCCATTTTGTTCTATTTTAGTGGGGGTTGGGAAGTTCACTGGGGGTACGAGTCGGATTTTGGATTTTGCCCCATGCCCAGACGGGCTTCCCCTCCTACCAGGGCAAGGGTTCGAGGTGTCCGTCCCTCAGGACGCCTCGGACCAGTATGCCGCCCTCATCAAGAAGGAGACGGGCGCCACGAAGGCCAGTGCTCCCGGAACCGGTCGGTGGATGCCCCGGCCGTCGTTTGTGAAGGCTAGGTCCCCCAGCGATCGGTGCCCTTTTCTCGCCCAACTTTTTTGGTTGGGAGGGTTCCCCTACTGAATTAGACTACAGAAAAAAGTTGGTACCAACTTCTTCTAACCTCTCTACTGGAGGACCTAGGACTCAACTTGGTCAGAGAGAAAGGCCCGGGCATAGGTCTCCTTTTGGGTTGGTTTGCTTAAGAAAATAGAGGGCCTTGCGAGGGCCATTTGTTTTTCCAAAAGGCCACCTATGGGCCTGGGCTGACCCGCAGATTGGAAGTGTAGTCATGAGTCAATGAACTGCCTCTTTTCCTACAAAGAAAGCCTGGTTGCAACCAGGTTGAGCATCCGAGTGGGATCCCACCCACCCACACACACACACTTGGTTGCTTCTTTTCTTTGTGCCCGGAGAGCTGTTTTTCCTTTGGGAATACCTTCAACGGGAAACTTCCAAATTCCAGGGATCTTTCTGAGCTCCCTTTATCTTTATGGCAAAGGGAGACCAAAAGGAAGGCATCAATTTTAGGGACAATTTTGAGACAAATGGCCCCAAGACCATGGGTAACTTTTCCCATTTAGTGGTGAAAGTCATCTTTTTGGTTTCCCCCCTAGTGGTCACCCTGTGTAAGGGACCTTCTGATCATCCCGGGTGTACAAAGCTGGGGGGGGCTTCCGAGCAATGCCGAAAGCATAGTTGTGGAACACTGGATTCTGGGGTCACGATGGGTGACGCAGGAATCCGCTGCAGGGACGCTCCGCCACCAAAGGGGTATCACAGAACAATAAGTTGATGTCTGGCACAGGCAGAAGGCCGTTTTAAAGACAGTTAAACTCATTCCCTGCATTCCTGGACTTTATGTTTCTCTGGGTTTGACCATCTTCGTGCCAAAAACAATTCGGACTTTTTTCGGCTCCAATAAAGTGAGAGTAAGGGACCTGGTAAGGGTTTGTTCTGAGGCCTGCACTCTGACCATTGACTCGAGCTTCCTCCCTCCCGCACCGGTGCCTGCCCGAGTGCGTTGTTTTTTTGTTTTTTTGTTTTTTTTTTAATCCTTTTTTTTCTTCTCCTTTTTTCTCGGACCACTTCGCTGGCTGAGACACACCCGCACAAACACAAACCACGTGCGCTCTTGATTCCTACTGTGTTCGGTCCAACTGTGTCAATGGCTCATTTGGGAGAGGCAGGGAATGACGAACTCCAAGTTTCCACCACGAAAACACGAAAACGTGAGGGGCCAAATCAAATTGTCCCATGCCCCATCGCACTCGGAAGACCAAGGTGGGAGGGTTCATGGAAACCCCGAGTTCATCTGATGAAGAGGGGGTGTCCCCTTTAATGAACATCCGGATCATTTTTTGGGCCGACACCCCATTAGTAGGACAGGTTTTTTCGATCCGAGGTCAACAGTATCACCTCTTGGACCGAGAATAAACACCTAGCCCCAAAACTGGGAAAACGGCTGAAATCCAGTCGATTCGTTATACAAGTGAATGGTTCTTGGGACAGGAACAGGCCACAGGCTTTGGTTTGCAACCTCGCGGCGGGTTCTTTTCATAGGTTGTGTTTCACAGTACTTTGGGTTGATGAATGAGGAGGCCTGCAAAACTTTGAAGACGCGCTTTTTGGTTGGGCAACCCCTGTTGGTTGTATTCTTGTCTCGGCTCATTGGATTTTGCAACTGAAGCCAATCTGGGACCGGTGTCTTCCAGGCTGCTTTCGATGGCTTGGGGATATTTCAAACTTGCTGATAAACCCAATGAACTGCTTATTCAGGTGAAGCTCCTTGTAGCTCAAGGCAGTCACTATATAATTTAGGGAACCCACCACAGAAATGGGTGTCAAATAGGGGGTCTGCAAAAATCAATCAAGTAACCGTCCCCTTTTGGTTGGCTGTGCGAGCCACGCTCAATAGTGATTGTGTCCCTCAACGACATTGGATAGTTTTGTGAGGAGCCCTCCCATTTTCTACTGATAGTTTGGTGAGTGTGCCCCATGTAGTCCCCTGTATGACAGCCGTTGCTCCTGTATGTGAGGCACGGTCAAAATTGCTCGTTTCCCTCAACCAGGATACATAATTGAAACATCCCCCTAATCCGCCATGCGTATGAATCCGGGGTAAATATGGTTGCAATGAACATTCACTCCCTGTTCCCAAAACCCCGGTTCTTCGTTTGGCCGGTTTTGACCCTGCAACGACTTTTCTGCGCACAGAAAAATGCAGCCCAGACCTTGGGACATACTGATGTTCGGTTTTGACTTCGCTTGTGCCAGCTACACGATGGAAACGCTTCTTGTTGGTGCGTCAGGGCTCCCATTTCGCATTGAACCAAAGGCTTACCCTTTTAACTTTTCGCCTCTGGGTTTCCATCATTTTTACCTGACCAGCAAACACTTCAACTTGCCCGGGGGTATTCTGGTCTTGGCCGGATAAGCGTTTGCGGCCACGTTTGAACACATGCCCCTTTCAGCGGGCTGATGTTTGAGGGAAAAAAAGAAGCGCGGGGCTGCCGGTGTCCGGCAAAGACGTGAATCCAAGTTGCCCCCGGCCGGGAATCGGATGTCTTCGAAATGCCCACGGCCTGTTCTGATCGGACCGAACCGATTGCCGAGTTTTCAGTCAGCTGAGGTGGCTGGCAAGGACAGCTGCAGCTCCGCATGCTTGTGATCATCTTCCCCAAGTGGCTATGTTTTTGTTTTTTTCCCCGGGGGTCCCTCAAAGGCAGGCGTCGCGTTTCCATTTAGCACCCACAAGAAGAAAGGTAGTCTCAAAAAGACACACACACAGATATTAACAATCACAAAGTCGAAGGGTACAGCTAGAGCGATTTATAACATATCCAACTACAAGCTCAGCTTTTAGCAAGAGATCAAGGAAGCACTCAGTGTCTGGTTACCTTTCGTTCGTTGAGCGTGCCGGGAGATTCGTCCCTCGCAGGACGGCCCCTCTTGCCTGGGCGGTGTGATGCTCTTGTGCCAAGGCAGGTTGGCCGGGCTCGGTTTGCGTAGAAAAGGTGCTAAATAAGTACTAACGGTCTAGCGTTATATTTACCCTCCCACCAATGATCTTGGAACCTGACAGTTTTTTCCGTTTTGAAGGGACCCCCTTCCATGTTAAGTGATAAGAGGGTATATTATAATGATGATTCAGGCTGATTTTTTTTGAAGTTCCCGCATCACCATTCGAAGAACGCGGTTCCTCTGCTCGTGAGCGCTTTGAGATTGCATGTTAGCACGCAGGGGCGTATAACTCGCATTGGGCTTGGGAGGGCTGGGACCAAAATCCAAGAACCCTGCAACGTACCCTTTGAGCATACCAGCTTCCCCTGATAAAGATTCCTTTCATAAGGTGTGCGGCGGGGTCTAAAGGCATGTATAGCGAAACTTTCACACATGAAATATGATGTATCTTGTCTCAACTGTAAAACTTGACAAAACTGGTTGGAGGCTTCTTGGACAAAAAGGAAGTAGTGTGGACGAGAAGCATTCTGGTGTCCCGGTGGTTGATCTTTGGGCTTCCGCGACCTGGGTCGGGCTGAGGTTTTTTTGGACTCCCCAACGCATCTCCGAAAAGTGCCCCCCCCCAAAAAAATAAATAAAATAAATAAATAAGGGAAGCCAAAAGGACACCAGCAGTTTTGGGGTGTCCCGATTTTGAGACCAGCTTCCAGAGCCACAGTGCATGTGGAGCCAGATTGACCTGTAGCCCATACCGATTCAGAGCCCCAGCAAGGGCAATGCAATGACTCTCATCGACTATTGGATTGGTCAAGGAGCAGTAAGGCCAATACCTTGCTGTGGCTCTGAAATGGTGGACCCACGTAAGGGATCAACTAATTACATGATTCGCTCACCACGATCTTGATTTTGCAGTACCTCAGAACCCCACTCAAGCTTCTTGGCCCCTTATTCTTTACTTGCCCTCTCTTCTTTTTGGAGGCTATCCCTTTTTTGGTTTGAACAACGCCAACAGACAACTCGGTCTGTGCCGTTTTTTGTGTTTTTTTTCAAGTCCTGAACGCACAGGCGGGAAGATCTCGGTGGCCTGGGCCCTCAGAACACGGGGAAGAAAAAAACCGGGGGGGGGGGGGGTCCTATCTGATCGCGAGCTCACCGATCAAAAGGGGGGGTTAAAGGGAGCTCAAGCCATGGTAAAGGTCCTGTACTTGGGGATCCGATTCTCAATTCAGGTTTTGGGATTCTAGTTCAGTTTGCGGAACTTTTCGCTGGAGCCCGCTGGTTTGACCGTCCCCGAAAAAAAAGAAACAAGTCTCGCGCAGAGGGGGAAGTTCCAGCGATGGCTTGTTCAGCCCATCCGGTTCCGATGGCTTGTTACCTTTGAGTTGGTGTGGGGGTTCATCCCCTCCGGCTTAGCAGGTGGTTTCTACTGTAGCAGGTGGTTGGGTTTCCATTTCTGATGAAGCTTGCAAACATGTTAGCAGAGGATCTGAGGACGGGTGAGTGTTAGTTTTTCCCAGAAGTGCTAGGGAGACAGCAGAATTTGCAGAATTTGCCCTGTTGGGGAACCAATACTGTTGTCCAGGAGTCACCCGTGTCTGCAATTTGTGTTTTACACCCCGGCTTTTCAACCTGTATAGCTGGGGCTAGAACTGATCATGACTTTTTTGTCCGGGATCTCATTTCGCATAGACTCCGAAAATTGGGCCCAGGTCCGAGACCCGCCTTTGCTTTTTATTTTTTTTTGGCCGGGGCAAAAGCTGAGGTCCAGGATTGTGGGATCACTCGGGGTTTATCCAACCACTTCTGTGATACAAGTTGGAATCCCCTCTTTGGGGGGTTGGTCTTGAGGCCGTTCTTGTATCACAGATTCGTGGATTCCATTTCAACCACAGCCCTGAGGTCGGAATGTGTGTGGGGATTCCGTTCAGCCGCGACTGAGGACAACACCATCGACATGCGCCTTAACTTAGCTGCGCCCTAAGTGCGCACCCACTTACACCGCCCCCCCTTCCCCAAATGGGTAAAAGCAATCACTTTGCATGGTGAGTAATTGACCTGAGTAAGCAGCGGTTACCCACTGGTTATATACCCATATCTATTCAGGTGTATGGACTTGGGTCTTTGGCGATGTTCTGTCATCAGAGGTTGCTTCCCCATTCTTTTCAATCACGTTCTTTGAAAGAAAACAGTCGCTTTCCTGGGTCTTCAACGGCTTTTTCGAAAGAATCATTCCTGGCAAGGTGGTGACTTCTGGTTTCACCGGAGACATCCAATGACGCGGACCCTTCTGGAGGGGACAAGCATATGATTCACAAGTCCAACTTTTATTTGGACATGGGGCCCCAAATGACTTAAGAAGTCATGGGCGATCATGTGGTGTCTCCGAAATAGGGCACTGGCCAAAACCAGTTCATGGCCGCTCTACTTGACTGCTACTTGATTGGATCTTTGTGGACCTTGTGTGTGTGTTTCCCTATCGACCAGCAGTTCCGCTTTTTGCAGGAGCAATCGTCTGGGCAAGTCATGACGAGCTCACCTTGCGTTTTTTGTTTTTTTCCCGCAAGCTCAGCAATGAGCACGGTCCTTGGCTGGGTTTCCCTTATTTCTGGCTTGCGGATCTAGACATGTTCGTCCGGAATATCAGAACAGCGAGTCACGAAGCTTGGTATCCATCCATTTGCTTAAGAACACTTTTTTTCAAATTTCCCTTGCTGGTTGGAAAGGGAATCTATCACTACTGAAAATTTAAGGGCTGCCGCCCAGTGCCGCCGACCCCTTCAATTAAATGAACGAATTCTTGATTCTCCGGTGCGGCGTTCGCGAGCGAGAATCGGGAATGCGCCAATCCATTTTTTCCTGTGGGGGGGGGACCTTTTCAGCTGGATGGGCACATTCTTGATTCTCCGGTGCGGCGTTCGCGAGCGAGAATCGGGAATGCGCCAATCCACTTCTTCTTTTTTTTCTTGGGGGGGGGGGGAGACCCCCTCAGTTGGATGGGCGCATTCTTGATTCTCCGGTGCGGCGTTCGCGAGCGAGAATCGGGAATGCGCCAATCCACTCTTTTTTTTCCTGTGGGGGGGGGGGGACCCTTTCAGCTGGATGGGCGCATTCTTGATTCTCCGGTGCGGCGTTCGCGAGCGAGAATCGGGAATGCGCCAATCCACTTCTTTGTTTTTTCTTGGGGGGGGGGAGACCCCCTCAGTTGGATGGCGCCAATCCACTTTTTTTTTCTGTGGGGGGGGGGGGGAGACCCCTTCAGCTGGATGGGCGCATTCTTGATTCTCCGGTGCGGCGTTCGCGAGCGAGAATCGGGAATGCGCCAATCCACTTCTGTTTTTTTTCTTGGGGGGGGGGGACCCTTTCAGCTGGATGGGCGCATTCTTGATTCTCCGGTGCGGCGTTCGCGAGCGAGAATCGGGCCAATTCTTTGTTTTTTTCTTGGGGGGGGGAGACCCCCTCAGTTGGATGGCGCCAATCCACTTTTTGTTTCTGTGGGGGGGGGGGGAGACCTGCTGCGCATTTCTTGATTCTCCGGCGGGCGTTCGCGAGCGAGAATCGGGAATGCGCCAATCCACTTCTTCTTTTTTTTCTTGGGGGGGGGGGGAGACCCCCTCAGTTGGATGGGCGCATTCTTGATTCTCCGGTGCGGCGTTCGCGAGCGAGAATCGGGAATGCGCCAATCCACTTCTTTGTTTTTTCTTGGGGGGGGGGGAGACCCCCTCAGTTGGATGGCGCCAATCCACTTTTTTTTTCTGTGGGGGGGGGGGAGACCCCTTCAGCTGGATGGGCGCATTCTTGATTCTCCGGTGCGGCGTTCGCGAGCGAGAATCGGGAATGCGCCAATCCACTTCTTTTTTTTTCTTGGGGGGGGGGGGAGACCCCTTCAGCTGGATGGGCGCATTCTTGATTCTCCGGTGCGGCGTTCGCGAGCGAGAATCGGGAATGCGCCAATCCACTTCTTCTTTTTTTTCTTGGGGGGGGGGGGAGACCCCCTCAGTTGGATGGGCGCATTCTTGATTCTCCGGTGCGGCGTTCGCGAGCGAGAATCGGGAATGCGCCAATCCACTTCTTTTTTTTTCTGTGGGGGGGGGGGGGGTGTTGTTTTCGCACAGATTGATCTCCCGCAACATTTGGCTCAAGGCCCCTTTTGCATAATCACGACCATTCGAGCGTGAGGACAAAAGAGCCATTGCAGGCCGCTTACAGGATTATCCATCAGACAATCCACCAGGGACAATCCATCCTCCAATCATCCATTGTAGGCATACTGGACTCTCTCCGGAATAGATTCAGGGACCAACAACGACCTCAACTACCACAGGGTTCCAGTTCCCTCCGGGGATAGGCACCTGGGGCAGTGGGCCTCAATTTGTGGTAGCGGAGCGGGTTTTCCGCAGAGATCCAAGGGAAGATGTCATCAGATGGAGAAGGTTTCATGGAAGCCTACACAAGTTCGGCAAAGCCGAGCTACACGGAGGAAACACTTAATTTATCGATGACCGCCAAGCAGCCGCCATCGTACGACGGAAAAGTCAGCTGGTTCAGGTATGAAGAACTCGTGGACGACTGGGTGACAATCACCACAGTAGAAGCAGCCAAGCGAGGTCCATTGCTTAAGAGCAGACTCACTGGAGATGCTTACATGTACAAGGCCGTCCTCCAAAATGACCTTTTGCAAGATCCTGATGAAGGAGTCAACTATTTCAAGAACACGCTGAAGAAGTACTTTTTGAAAGGTGCGATCAACGTGTATCTGTACAGACTCCTCAGTTTCTTCAACCACAGAAGGCAGAACCAAGAGTTCCTCATTTTTACCTCAAAATTCGAGATCCTTCTCATGAGATTGAAGGCAGCATGGATGGACTTGATGCCAATCTTTACGGCACAGTCTCCATCATTCCGACAGTCCGTACAGGACGCAAACGCGAGAACAATTGCTCGACATCAGCAAGCAGCCGGTGCTCGAGCACCGCCTCCAGCCCTGCTAAATGAGGACGATCCTACA